CGAGATTGATAGATAACTTTCGTTCCATAGTTATTGCCTACACTCGGTGAAAATTATAGAAGCACCATCCGACAATTATATAGAACAAGAAGAATAAATTAAGGAAACAGCCAAGTGTAAAGGAGCGGCCCCGGAACATCATACACAGCGCAAACCCTGGCCAAGAGGTCTGAGACCCAAATCCCTCGTTCCAACTCACCGAGCTCGCGGCCAGAGCATCCTAATCGTTTGAGATCAAGTTCCTCGCAGATGACCCAGCAACTGTATCTCTCGACACCCAGAAGGACACACTGCAGATAATGGACAGACTTTGGACAGCCTCCAAAGCATAGGCGTTGCGGGACCAACGGATATATTGGAGAGTCTCAGACGTTTCATTGAGACATATTATATTCGCCTGTGTGAACGGTTGAGAAACTGCAAAAAGCCCCGATACCATCACAGCTGTTTGAGAGAAGCTCGTTAGCGAATCAACAGCCTCATAGCGACTATCAAAGTCGCACCAGACGACGCGGTTCGAGGCTGTAATTATATTCTATCAAGAGATTGAATTCATAAAGAGAATATAATACAAATGAGCCGCAAACCCCGGTGTGATAATGAGCTGAACCTAGCCCTTGGTTCAATGGCCGGATTGGATAAAGATGCCCAATAGCAACAAAGTTTTGCTAGCTTGGCCAAGTCAAGTTCAGTGAAAGCCAGATCATCTGGATCGCTCAACCACAATAAGGTTCATGGTACACTTTCCACGCTGATGTCAATTCTTCGGCAAGAAGCGCTGGCCATAGAAGAATTTGAAGAGACGACCCCGAAGAACGATGAAGCCGGATACCCATAGCTAGGTAGTTTTCAATTGTTGTTATGTAGAATCAAATCAGCTTGTGTGCTTTGAATCGGATTGTTGAGAATGTTAATGCCCAAGGTGAAATCGAGAAAGAGACAACTTTTCGCAAAGCCGCGGCCAAACCAAACATAATTTAGAAGGGAGTTTCGTTCGTCTCCAAGGTGTGTTGATCTCAAACTCCAAACAGAATACCCTGCGCCGGACTGAGGACCGCGCATCTGCAAGGATGCTGGAGTAAGGGTCACCAGCGACCCGTCTTGAGAGACGGACCAAGGAGTCGTCTTCGTATGCGAGTGTTCGAGTGCAAACCCCCCATGCGTAATGCAAGTGAACGCAATATTCCGCTATAGCAGGCTGGACCACGTAAAGACAGGACGCCAAACATAATTTAGAAGGGAATATCGTTCGCCTTCAAGATATGTTGATCTCTGTTGAGTGGTCACAGACCCACCCTCTTGGCAAGCCGACTTTGTTAATCCGTTTGCAACGATCTGTTTGCTCTTGGTCAGGGTATATCCCTTCCTATCTTCGATAGTCCTAGTTGTTGCAATACAACCCTCTTCACCCTTCTCAATCTCAAACTCCGAACAAAGTGTCTTTATGAAGAGAATATTCCGCCATGGCAGGCCGGACCACATGGAGACACCAAACATAATTTAGAAGGGAGTTTCATTCGCCTTCAAGGTCCTGCGGCCCCCGACGTAACCCGAATAGCGCTCAGCTCGTATAGATCAAAGTTGTATCACTTGATGAGTAGCGGCCCATCAAGATCCAACGACGTCCCATCCCACGTCCTGTAGCATAAAGGATTGTACAGCACTGGCTCCCCGATGCCCAATAGTCTCCTGCATCAGAAAAGGTATGGTCTGCAATAGGGTCTTGAGTTGCGTCTCTCAAACGAGCTTATCGCCCGCGAAATTCATGTCAACTTATTGGTGCGGCATCGCTGAGTAGTATCCGGGGTCGAAGCCACATGGATAAATGGCACGACTCCCACAGGTCCTCCACGCTGTCGGTGCCATGTTAGGCGTATTGATGGATTTGATAGTCCGTCCTCCGAAAAAAATCGGCTCGACCCAATAATTTAGAAGGGAGTTTCCCCGCTGGAACCCAGGTACAAGTACCGGTACGAGGGTGTCGGGGCTTGTCAAGTCAAGATGTCCGAAGAAGTGCATGATGATCTGTAGGACGAGTACCAGTCCTACATAGGCGACAACGAACAGGAGCACCGAGGTGATAAGACATACAACGGGATAAAGACTAATAGTAAGATGTTAGCATGATATACCCAGTGTTGCGAAGGAAAACTAGCAAGCACTGACATGGTTTTAAATATATAGATAGGCTCCATGGTTTTTAGGGTCGCTGGCGCTGGGAGTCTATACAGAACAAAAGAAAACAACAAAATCATTGCCACGACTCTACGTCTATATATTTTCTTTCCTTGTCAACAATTAACCGAGCATAATAGAAATAGAAGGTAAGAACGATACGCGCAAAAAGGAGCACCTGAGCGCTGTTGCTACGACACAACCAAAATCACTAATTCAAAGGGAAGTAGAGCTTTCCTTCCATAGGAAACTATGTCTGGATACTAGCGATATCATTTCTTATCCTTCAATCAAGAAAGTGTCAAAAATGCTTGCAAAGCCCCGAATTATCAGGGATATCAGCGCTCAGAATTCAGCTCGCCATCGCATACTCGGCGAACACGCATTATATACCTCCATCAAGCGAGCTTATGCCAGACAGCAAGCTTGACAAGGCACCCACGCCCACAGCGAGCCTCACCAGTATATCACCAGGATTTGAACGGAAACTGAAAGATGAATGCGAGCAAGGCGCCATCTGAACTTGATTTGGCCAAGGGGGATCAACTTCACTATCTTTGGATAACTTTTTGGGATCCAGTCACTGAAGCTTTGGTCGAATACAGTTTCTTATTGAACAGAAGTTCATGTCTTCTATTGAGTCTGCATATCTAGCTATACCAAAGGTCTACACGTTTGCTTCATCTGGCGCTTTGCTGGCTACATGTTGCGGCCGTTTGAGATACGATTCGCGCTCACAGTGATATTTAGCCTGTTGATGGAGTGGTTCCAAGTGCACGGTAGGTAGGGGCCAGAATATCCAGGTAGCACGCCATATTTCCCGCGAAGATCGTACAACGACTTTGGCATAGAAATTATCTCGAAAATATTGCCATTCCTGGCCATCCGGTGCCCAGCATGCACATTCCACAAGTTCAGCGAAGTGTGATAGAATGAGTAGCTCCGATATAAATGGAATTGACATCGCCAAAGGACCTACAGTGAACATATACGTTAGCTTTAGCCAACATCACATCAAGAATGCGCGAAGGATACCGTACATATAAGTCCCAAATACATATCCTTTAGCCAGAGCTGGCCCCAGAGCATAAGGCAGAACGTTGATAGAATCGGCTGCTTGGAATAGAAGTTGTAAGGTACAGTAAGTGGAAGCGAGCTGATGATTACCAGCTGTAAGAATGACTTTTCACCAGGTGGCCTCATGAAAATGTACATGGTTACGTGTGATAGCCAATTCCATATCAAACGTCCGGTATAAAAAAGCCCGTTGCTGAAAGATTTGGACTTGAGAGAGTGGGAGATCCTTTGTATTTCGCTCGGCACAAACGTGAGGCGAGAAGCCGATTGGTCTTGAAAGATGGCCCATGTTATGCTTCCAACGATAAGTAGAATGTCGGATAGGCCAGATAGTAAAGAACTCAGCAGAACCAAAACTTGTGGTTTATAGAATTCGAGATTGAGGTAGCTTGCGATTTGGGGTAGATTGAGCCAGTTTAAGATTTCGGCTAGGAGGGAACTGGTGATGTCGAGATCGATGTAGTCAGATATTGCGGCCAGAAAAACGTTGGCGTTGCCCACGATAGAATCTGGTAATTCGGCCATGAATGTGCCGTTCGTAATTTGTACAGAGTCCATATTGATAGTGATGGCTGGTCTCTGTTGGAATCGAATAATGTAGCTGGTTAATCCGCGATTGTTCTAGTGTGGAAGAGATGGAGCCGTATGTTGGGGATGAGATGTTGGGAGGATGGAGTGCCTGGGAAAGGCGAGATATATAAATGTTTTAGTAGAGAGTCACAAGGAATCAACCGCAGACTAAAGTTTTGTCAAATAGTCCCTCGCTTGACAAAATGGCAGATAAGGGTGTGGGGAAAAAAACGCCATATTCAGTCAGTTTGGCCATCAAGGTCCAACAAAGCCGGATTATCCAGGTTTCTTGATAAGGTTCAAGATAAATCTTTTACACTAAAGATAGAATTACTTGCCAATGGCCCTATAGCAAATATGACAAAACGCTACAGCAACAAAGAAGCCACCTATACGGAAGCCAGCCTTGCCTCCTTGGAAGATGGATGAAATCCTGAAAAAATTAGTGAATGCTATGCTAATAAATGTAGTGCAATATATTAGAATGGCATATAAATCTTTATTACATGTATTAATAGCAAGACCTTAAACTTACTGTCACTCTCCTATTTGCTTCCCTCTATAAAGAGCAGCGAGAATGACAACTTAATTCAGTGCCTCAATTCACCAGATGTGGACGAACCTTGAACACCATGGCAGCATCTCATACTTGACAATGACGAAGAACCTGAACGACGTCTTTTTATCCGAATCTGAGTATAGAGAGGATGATAGAAGGCCGTCAGGGAACAGTACGCGTCTCCCTAAAATGGTATAGTCGTATAAACCTATGATCTTCGATCGTATGGGGCACATGGAGGGCTGAAATTACGGACGAGAATATAGAGGAAAGCTTCAAGCCATCTTATACAACTTGGGTACCTAGTGATAAAGCCACAGTACAGTAGATTCTGCCTGAGCTGCCTGAACTGCCTGAACTGCCTGAGCTGCCTGGTTGATGAGTGTCCCTATATGGTCTGGCTTACCATGGTGGAATTCCCAATTTATAAGGACATTTTGTTCGGAGCCAGAGAAGTACATGGCACCAAATACTGCACTAATATAGATGAAACACGAGCCCATATAAACTTTGTAGATTGATTTAGATTATCAGCTCGCGGTAACGAGCAAAGTGGTTTCTATTTGACCAACCATGCTTTTGATATAAACCCCCTAATCTATGCTTGAACCGAAGCTCCTTAGAAATCGTTATCATCAGCGCCAGACACAATGACATTGTTAACCTTGAGAACCATTCGGCACAGCTGTGTCGCCAACTGCAGCTGTTGCTTCTTGCTAATCAACGGGTCAATGACAAAAGCGGACTTCATGTCGTTATCGCCCCGTCCCATGCAGTCAACACCAAGCTTTCCTTTGTTCTCAGGGCCTGCCTTGACCTGCTGGCTCTTCACCTCTGCCAGGGTTGAGATGGAGTTGAGACCGCTGTTCTCGGCCAGGGCCATGGGGACGGCATCCAAGGCCTCAGCAAAGGCGCGCATGGCATACTGTTCCAGACCAGGAGTCTTGCCTGCAGCATCCTCTACTGCCAAGGAGCAGGCGATCTCTGCGGCACCACCTCCATATACGACTCGGTTGTCCCTTACCAAGTTTCTTACAACGCAGAGAGCATCGTGGAGAGAACGCTTAGCCTCGTCAATGATCTAGATATTCCATGTCAGCTGGTATTCGATTAAGCGAAGAGTCTTTCCATCATACCATCTTGTTGCTTCCTCGTACGAAAACAGTCACAGCTCGGGTGTTGGCGCACTCCTCGATAACCAGCATCTTCTCCCTTGTTGTTCCGAAAGACATTTCTCTGACAATGCCAGCAGAACCCAGCTTCTCAGCCTTCAGATCCTCAAAGCGAGGCACTATCCTGCCATTGGTTGCAATGGCAATCAGCTCAATCTCAGGACCGCCAACCCATCGAACAGCGGGGAGCTGGTTCTGGAGCAGTAGATGGTTGGCCTCATCGTCGAAACCCCACTGGCAGATGGCCAAGTTGGCGCCGGTATCCTTGATCTGCTGAATCATCTCTATGAACTTGTCCTTCTCGTAGTTTTGCAGCTTCTTGAACTCTTCTACGCTTGTGATGTCGAGGTGGTGCTTGGTCTTGGGCTTAGGAGGCTCGAAAGCGCAAGTCAAGATTGCAATCTTGGCATCCTTGACTTCTGAGGGCATCTGAGGGTGAGAAAAGTCCTTGTCGATAATCACACCCTTGACAAGAATGGTGTCCTCGAGAGCGCCACCGACCTTGCCGTCAACCTTGATCAGCTCAAAGTCCACATCCTTGCGCTCAAGATCAGCCACCGACAGAACCGCGTCAACAGCAATCTTGGCGAACTGGTCATGAGCCTTGGAGACAATCTTGCTTCCCAAACTCGTCCGTGCGACCTTGAGCAGGTTGGTAGTCTCCTCCTTTGTAAACTCGATCGTGTCTGAGATCTTGTCCAGCTCGGCGACAGCAATATCGCAGGCCTGGTCGTAGCCGTCGGCAATACGGATAGGGTGAATGCCCTTGTCGATGAGGTCGGCAGCCTGCTCCAAGAGGGCACCAGCGAGGACAACAACACCCGTTGTGCCATCACCAATTTCCTCATCCTGTGATTTTGACAGCTCCACTAGCAGCTTGGCAACGTGGTTGCTGACATCCATCTGCTGGAGAATGGTGGCTCCATCGTTCGTGACCGTGATGTCGCCGTCCGGTGAGATGAGAATCTTGTCGAGACCGCGAGGACCGAGTGATGTCTTGACGATGTTGGCGACCGTTCGGGCAGCGAGGATATGTGACTTGACAGCTTCGTTGCCAAACTGGCGCTTCTTCTTCCCCTGACTAGACCGCTGTTAGACAGCAGGCAGCTGCACACGAGTTTTTGGAACTTACTCTCTAACGACAATGAAGGGCCGACCTTGCTCATCCTTCACTACCGCCGCTGCGCGCTGAATGTTAGCTGCGATTTCGTGGCCATATCCGGGTCCTCGGAGCCTTTACCGTTGGAAACATCTAGATCTAAAGTGCGTACTTGTTAGTTTGAATGTCCCCCCTGACTATGGCCATCGTTTGATTCGGTCTCGACTTACTCAGCGACATCTTGGCTGGGGGAAACTTGTTGTTGGATTTGTACAGACAAGTGAAAATCGATCGGTCTCGGCACCAAAAATAATTACCCCCTTGATTTGGTGACAGAGTACAGCTTCAAGCTTTCCACGATCGTGCCCGAATTTTTCGACCACTTGGGGGGAGTTGCCTACAACTCCCACTACAAAGGGTGCGGGACACGGACAAAGTAAAGTCCGCCTACCGGCACCCCGCCATATTATCAAGCTTCTGGAATTGCCCCTCCATGACTTAATCTAGCGGATGGAGCACAGTTGCCCCTCACGACCAGCGACTGTCTTGGAAGCTAAAGGAGCGCTGGGCTGCTTGCTGCACGGATTAAGGTTTAGTCGTTCATTGTCGGCATTTGACTTTTCGTCTCTTTTGGTTTTGAAATTTATTTCCAACATTAGCTGAAGCTTGCATAATTATCGCGAGGCATATTTCTGATACTGCGCGGTGGCGGCTGTAAAGCGTCTGCCTAATCGATCAATGAGTCAACCCCGAGTGCTCGTCATACAAAGCAGCTAGTCCCGGGAAAACGTTCGGCGCCGCCAGCCAGATCAACCTTTCAAATTCACCCACAAAGCTCGACACAGTACATATTCTGCTATAAACAAAATCGAACAAACTCGAAAAGCACTTGTATACGACATCGCAATGGCGCCTCCGACCACGTACGACGACGACGACTTCGTCGACCAGTATGACGACTTTGAGGAAGAGGACGGAATGAGTGCTGAAGACAAGGTTGCGATGCAGCAAGGTACCGCAGAAGTACAGAAAGCTCTCGGGACGGAAGCAAGCAAAGTCACAGTTGCGCAAATACAAGAAGCTTTATGGCATTACTACTACGACATCGATAAATCTGTCGCCTACCTGACAAAAACCTTTATTGCGCCAGCTCCAAAGGCAGCTCCTAAACCGGCGCCGAAGAAGGCACCTGAAGGTAAGACTGGCGCGTTTCCCTTACCAACCAACCAAGCCCTGTTTTTGCGAACCTTGGAAGCAAATCGCGAATCGCCTGAGCACGATGCATACTCCGCAAGCTTTTACGGTATTCCTCTGCACACACACATGTTTCCCGCTGTAAGGAAGCCTCAGATATCTCCGACATTTTTCGACGATATGCCGTGGCTAGAGATACCGAAAGAACGAGAAGCTATATTTATTGAGCCACCACACTCTGTTGGAGGGCTTTTGGGAGGCAGCAGTTCCGCCCCTAAGATGTCAAAGCTCCAAGCACTGGCCGCGCTTCGCAAGAAAAAGGCCGAAGAGAAGAAGGATCAAGAAAGAGTCACTCCACCAGAAGACGAAGTATCGAAGCTCTCGCTCTCCGATAGTCGCAACAAGGAGAATACCAGCCTTGGCTCAAAGATTCAACCCGACTCAGCAGTGGCCTCAAATGCGCTGGCGCAGGAGGAAGAGATACCAAAAGGCGCCGGTGGCAATTCTGCTGGGGGACAGGTTGGTTCGTCAGCCATCAATGAAAGCGAATTCAGTGTCAATACCAAAATTGAAGAGGAGCTGGTGGCGAGCCATAGCCATGCTCCTTCTGCATTCGCGCGCACATTGTTCGGCTCGACTCTGGAGGCAGACCAAGCGCAAAGACCTCATGTTTTTGCAATGCCATACACTCAGTCTTCCTCCTTTCTAGCCAACGCCTTCTCGGAACCCAGTCCAGACGATATTGTGCTCGCAGCTCAGGCGAAAGGTTCGAATTTTGCTAAGGCGAAATGATGGGCTAATTCTAATTTTTTCAACCAGCGGGAAAGAAAACCCCAGCCACGCCGAAAACCACGAAGAAATCACAAAAGAACGAGGAAGCCGCCAAAGAGGGGGGACTTGCGAGCAGTGTCTCAAGCCTTAAGATTAACGACGGGCCGCCGCCTAATAGCAAAGGCCTCGACGTTATCAAGGAATTCGAACAAAATGCTAGCAAGAGGAATGCTAGTTTCGTAGTCGTTGGTACGTTTCATCATGTTGTTCTAAGAATGATTACCGCCTTGAGGTGACTGTCGCTGACTCTTGTTTAGGACACGTCGATGCTGGCAAGAGTACATTAATGGGCCGACTTCTTCTAGAGCTGAAGCTTGTTGAGGAGCGTACAGTCGACAAATACCGTAGACAAGGTGAAAAGATTGGAAAGCAGTCTTTCGCGTTGGCATGGGTCATGGACCAGCGAAGTGAAGAGCGAGACCGAGGAGTGACGATAGATATTGCCACCAACCACTTCGAGACTGAGTCAACAAAGTTTACAATTCTAGATGCTCCGGGCCATCGAGACTTTGTGCCCAACATGATTGCTGGAGCCAGTCAGGCAGACTTTGCAATCCTTGTTATCGATGCCAATACTGGAGCTTACGAGAAGGGGCTGAAAGGCCAAACACGAGAGCATGTTCTGCTTCTACGGAGCTTAGGTGTTCAACAGCTGATCGTTGCTGTAAACAAACTTGACATGGTCGGGTGGTCCCAGGATCGTTTCCAAGAAATTTCAGAGGAAGTCTCAGGGTTTTTGACTGGCCTCGGGTTTCAAGATAAGCATGTCACGTTTATTCCCATATCAGGTTTGAACGGAGACAACATTGTCAAGAGAACAGAAGATGCGGCTGGACTATGGTACAAAGGACCTACTCTAATAGAGGGCTTGGAAGCATCTGGGCCGTCAACCGCACGAGCTCTAAAGAAGCCCTTCCGGATGGCGATTTCCGAGATTTTCCGCTCGCAGCAGGGAACTACGACTCTTGCTGGCCGTATAGACTCGGGAACAATCCAAATTGGCGATGCTGTGCTGGTGCAGCCAAGCGGGGAGTCGGCGTACATCAAATCTATCATGCTTGATACCGAGGCCAAGGACTGGGCAGTAGCTGGCCAGAATGTCAGCGTTGCCTTGACAAATATTGACCCGATTCATATTAAAATCGGCGACATCATTTGCCACACAACGGATCCCATCGCTGTTGGGGACACGTTTACTATGAAAGCTATGGCATTTGAGCATCTGATGCCAATGCCAGTAGATCTTCACCGCGGCAGACTCCACGCTGCAGGCCAGATCCAATCTTTAGCAGCTACTCTTGACAAGGCCACCGGCGAAGTCGTCAAGAAGAAGCCCAAGGTTGTACAGCCCGGAGGAGTGGCTCGGATTTTAATCAAGCTGGAGGCAAAGGTTCCCTTGGAAGCCGGACAACGGGTTGTTATACGAAGCGGAGGTGAAACCATAGCTGCTGGCTTATTAGAGTAAAACTAGCATTATTTCCTTTTCCTTTGTATTCTTCGGGTTTTTATTCTTTATTCTTTGGATTACGGGTATAGAATGGGGAAATTTTTCCAACAAAAAGCAAAATGGGCGCTTGTTAGATAAGATGCGTATACCAATATCAAAAGTGCCATATCTGGATTAAACCGTGGATTTCGAAAGATCTTCCTTTGCTACAACCTGAGCTCATCAGCCTGGTACCGATCAAGAATATGACAAGGCAGCGAAATTGAAGCATCTACCAGCAAGCCTTGCACACTATCTGGTACTTGACGTGAGGTAGAGAAATATTCTACTGGCAAGGAAATTGATACCACGTAGCCACAGACCAGCCCATATGCGTGGCAATCCACTGCACTTATAGAACTTCAGCCTCATTGTGGCAAATCTTAACTTGACAGCAGAGCGTTTGCCTCTGCGGTATCCACTAGGAAATGCCGAGTGCTGAAGCGGAGAAATGGCTAGTATAATATACTTGGCCTGAAGGAAGACTGGCGCTTATTACACCGGATACGAAACATATAAGCATAAGCGAACTATACATAGAAGGCGAGAAAGAAAGGCAGCCTGCAATCAATGTACAACGTGGCCAGAGCGCTTTAACAGCAAACAGCTTCCTGTTCCGTGATGATATTGTGCCTAATACCAAGGCTCGGTCCCATTTTGCCAGCCGCCGAACCCCGTAGTTGTAGCTCTGAGTCACGCTATTGGAATAGCATCGAAACTCCTCCGTCAGCGTCTAATATCAAACCCCCAGAAGCGTGGCCTCTTCGACCTGGAGGCTGGAGGGGCAAAATGGAGAACGTGTGGCGTTGGCTGTTCACAGCACCTCCAAATAGGTAGGTGTGGTGTCTGGAGCCTCTTGGTAGGCTGTCAAAAATGCCCGGCGAGCAGGTGCAGGGCGCCATGTGCTCCGTATCATTGACAGAGACGCACCGTACAAACGTGCCTAAATCTGCGCGACATCACAGTACGCAGATATAAGACCCCTGTCACGTGCGGGGCAGAAGGTTCTGGGGACCCTGTTTGGCTCGCGCAAGGGACCCGTACCTTGAACTTACCTGAAATCTGGCCTTTTTGGAGCCTTCTGGACACTTCAACTTTTTCTGGGGCAGCATTCATAAATTGGCCGATCGTCGCCTTTCTCTTCTCCAACCCATTTTTCCCTTTTTCTCTTCAGCAAAGATACCCCCTCGCCTGGTGAATACGCCTGGTCTGAGGAAACAATTGAGCTCGCTGCGTTAAATCGCTGCGCATTTTCCTTTTCATTTTTTCGTTTGAGCTGATCACCGGGCTTATACGTGCGCGGGGTACATTTCTTTTCCAAAAACCACATTTTCTTCCCAATGGCTCGTTCACGGAGCTCCCTGGCCTTGGGCCTGGGTCTGCTCTGCTGGATCACCCTGCTCTTCGCTCCTTTGGCCTTTGTTGGAAAGGTCAATGCCAGCGACGATGCGGACAACTACGGAACTGTTATCGGTATTGTAAGTGAACATGGACAAGGCTGAAGACAACCCCCACCATATTAACACGTTTGCTCTTTTAGGATTTGGGTACTACCTACAGCTGTGTCGGTGTGATGCAGAAGGGCAAGGTCGAAATTCTCGTCAACGATCAGGGTAACCGAATTACTCCTTCCTACGTGGCCTTTACCGATGAGGAGCGTCTGGTTGGCGACTCAGCCAAGAACCAGGCCGCCGCTAACCCCACCAACACCATCTTCGATATCAAGTGAGTCAAACCTTCCAATGCGCGTTGAGATGTATATGAGAACATCATCGCTAACAGTTGCGCAGGCGATTGATTGGTCGCAAGTTCGCCGAAAAGGACATCCAGGCTGATATCAAGCACTTCCCCTACAAGGTCATTGACAAGGATGGAAAGCCCATTGTTCAGGTCCAGGTGAACGGCGAGAAGAAGCAGTTTACTCCTGAGGAAGTTTCCGCCATGATCCTTGGCAAGATGAAGGAGGTCGCCGAGTCCTACTTGGGCAAGAAGGTCACCCACGCCGTCGTCACTGTCCCCGCCTACTTCAACGTAAGTTCTTTGTCCTAGTTCTAAACATTGCAACCTCGTGCTAACAGTTTTGCAGGACAACCAACGCCAGGCCACCAAGGATGCCGGTGTCATTGCCGGTCTCAACGTCCTGCGAATTGTCAACGAGCCCACCGCCGCCGCTATCGCCTACGGTCTGGACAAGACTGATGGTGAGCGCCAGATCATTGTCTACGATCTTGGTGGTGGTACCTTCGATGTCTCCCTCCTTTCCATTGACAACGGTGTCTTTGAGGTTTTGGCTACTGCCGGTGACACTCACCTTGGTGGTGAGGACTTTGACCAGCGTGTCATCAACTACTTGGCCAAGGCCTACAACAAGAAGAACAGCGTTGATATCTCCAAGGACCTCAAGGCCATGGGCAAGCTCAAGCGTGAGGCCGAAAAGGCCAAGCGAACTCTGTCTTCCCAGATGAGCACCCGTATCGAGATTGAGGCTTTCTTCGAGGGCAACGACTTCTCCGAGACTCTTACTCGAGCCAAGTTCGAGGAGCTCAACATGGATCTCTTCAAGAAGACCCTCAAGCCTGTTGAGCAGGTTCTCAAGGACGCCAACGTTAAGAAGAGCGAAGTTGATGACATTGTTCTCGTTGGTGGTTCCACTCGTATCCCCAAGGTTCAGTCTTTGATTGAGGAATACTTTGGTGGCAAGAAGGCTTCCAAGGGTATCAACCCCGATGAGGCTGTTGCTTTCGGTGCCGCTGTTCAGGCTGGTGTTCTTTCCGGTGAGGAGGGTACTGAGGAGATTGTCCTCATGGACGTCAACCCCCTGACTCTCGGTATCGAGACCACCGGTGGAGTTATGACCAAGCTCATCCCCCGCAACACTCCTATCCCCACTCGCAAGAGCCAGATCTTCTCAACTGCTGCTGATAACCAGCCCGTTGTCCTGATCCAGGTCTTTGAGGGTGAGCGTTCCATGACCAAGGACAATAACATCCTCGGCAAGTTTGAGCTTACCGGCATTCCCCCCGCTCCCCGTGGTGTTCCCCAGATCGAGGTCTCCTTTGAGCTGGATGCCAACGGTATTCTGAAGGTCTCTGCCCACGACAAGGGCACCGGCAAGCAGGAGTCCATTACCATCACCAACGACAAGGGCCGTCTCACCCAGGAGGAGATTGACCGCATGGTCGCTGAGGCTGAGAAGTTCGCCGAGGAGGACAAGGCTACCCGTGAGCGCATTGAGGCCCGTAACGGTCTTGAGAACTACGCTTTCAGCCTCAAGAACCAGGTCAACGACGAGGAGGGTCTTGGTGGCAAGATTGATGAGGAAGACAAGGAGACTGTAAGTTGAACTCGACTCATTTCTGCGATGAAGCGAATATTTTGCTAACTGTTGTCATAGATTCTTGAAGCTGTTAAGGAGGCTACTGAGTGGCTCGAGGAGAACGGCGCCGACGCCACCTCCGAGGACTTTGAGGAGCAGAAGGAGAAGCTGTCCAACGTCGCTTACCCCATCACCTCCAAGATGTACCAGGGTGCTGGTGGCGAGGACGATGGCGACTTCCATGACGAACTGTAAAAAAATGCATAGATGTTTTATTATCTAGAGGAACCAAAGAAGTTCCCCGGTGTTATCGTCGGTTATGACGCGGATATGTTTTTAGTCTTATTAAATCTGAATGCAACTCTGCAATTGTAAAGTAGATGCATAGATTGAAGTTTGAATTTGATACCTACCTAACGAATGTGTGCTTGTGATGGCTGAGTTTGCTGTGAGCTTTTCGTATCCCCTCAGTGCCGAATAATTGCTGTAGCATGAATGATATCCATGCATTTGCTTGAGGAAGCTCATTGATTTCTCTCCAAATATTTCTCAAGTCATGCAGGACTAGGTGGTAGTGGCTGCAGGCTTTCATTCCAAGGAGCATCAAACATGTTGACTGGCTCACGGCCCAACTCGTCAGTATTATCAAGAGAAGTAATGGCTAGGTATTGATCACTATGATGATCATTGTTGGTTCAAAATAAGCTGCTGATTCACATTAATAGTCTTTCCAATCTTTGCGGCACCGTGATCTTGTGTGCTCGCACCAAGTACAGCAGCCGCAGACTGAGGCTGCCAGGTGGCTCGCAGCCCGATGCGTTTCTATATCAACTATTGTTTAAAAGATCACACATGAAACAGGACTGCTCTTCAAACAACTCTCTTTTCACCTCAATTTCTTGCATCGAGACTTCTGATTTCTGATGCACTGGTCTCTTTAGGTTGAAACACATCTTTGCTCCCCGAGGTTGTCAAAACAACCACATCCGTATTCTACTGGCTGTAGATTCAAATAAGCGAAGCAAGCAAGCATTTATCTTCGCAAAATTCTTTTTGTCTCTTCAAGCGGCTATTATGGCAGATTCTCCGACTGGCAATCATCAGACGTTGGCTTCAGAGGAAGGATCCGTATCCCGACCAGTGAGTTGAATCTTCTTTTCTCTCCTTTCCTATTTTCCGTTAGAAATATTGCCGGCACAGATTTGCTGATTTTGTTTACAAAATTCAGAGACCGAAAATAAAGATATCATTAATCAAGTCCAGTCCAACCAGAACCACTGGATTGAAGGACAGCTCAACTCATGGCGAGGATAACGAAGCCATGGAGCTCGATGGCCCTACGGCGACTTCTCCAAAAGTCGAGTCGAAGGATGGAAACCTTGATAGCCTCGAAATTATCAAGCATGAAGAAGTAAAAGAAGATGATACTCAAGAAGACCTGATTAAGAAGCTCTTCGACATGGTTCGTGACGTGACCGCAGAGCAGCTGGCACTCAAGCAGCTTCAGATAACAAACACCATCTGCCGCCTCAAAGAACTCCAAGATCAACAGCCTCCCAAGGCCACCTTCAACCCTGCCATAGCAAACAGTTGCCGCGAGCGTCTCGAAGGCACACTCACATACCTCACCTCTGAGCTCTCGGCCATCCCTCCAGCCAAATGGACCACCTACAAGAGGAAGCTCCTCAAGTTTTGCGAATCCGAGCCCATTCTCACCATGACCTTTGCACAGCGTCTCTACAAAGTCGTCGACATAATCTACCTCCCGGAAGAAATGGACGCGATACCAAAGGAGGATTTTAAGAGGATGCACAGCGTGGCGAGGATTTGTGCCGCTGCCGCTCAAGCGCTGGGGCCAGAGCACGAGAGTGAGGAGGCACTGGCTGAGAAGTGGATTAGTGCAAAGGCTCAGGATTTGGAGTTTTTGAAGAAGATGTTTCGTTCTATGAGGGGGATTTACAAGGCTTCTGCGCCTGAGCGGACGGAGATGCCTTGGGAGAGACAAGCGGGGGAACGAGATAATGGACAAGCCTGCGGGAATGCCCAAAGCTTATGAGACAGTGTATTTTGGGATTTATTAGCAAGGTCTAGTGGTAAATGCTGCAGAATCAGGCAATTGGACAGGGTTTACGTGAGGATAATCACAATGAGAACATTTGAAACTCGCTCTAGATATTAAAAAAGCAAAAAGGAGTTATTCTCATGACTCTTTGATCTTCCCAAGATGCTCTGATAGCTCGCCACGAAGTCTTGTCCTGTAAATTGAAATATCACGTGATAGCGCGGTTCAGTTCGCATCGAAAAGACGCGCCGTCACGGTAAGTGGATTACGACATCGAGCCAGCTTTTCCGCAAGGTGTCTCAACAAAGGGAGAGTGAGGCTATCTTTTTTTTTTGTCCTTTAATAAATTTCACTTTGCCATTGGAGCTTCACGTTTCAAATTTTGGCTCCTTTAATTGCCCCAAAAATGCCTGCTGCTAAGCGATCAGCTCCCATCCAAGAGGAGTCGACCGGCACGCGCCGGCGCTCCGGCCGCTTGTCTAGCACGCAGCTGAAGAGTGTATACTTTGAGAGCGAAGATGAGAGTGAAGAAGTTGTTGGCGGACGCCAAAAGAAAGCAACTCTTCCCAAAAAGCGGGATAGGAAAGCATTGAATGAATCTGATGAAGACGAAGAAGAGTTTGACGAAGATTCAGAGGAAGAGGTGGAAGTGCAGCCCAAGAAGAAACCCCGAGGACGGCCTCCAAAGAAAGCCAAAGAAGAGTCTGATGAGGATCAATATCATACGCCGAATGAGGATGAGGATGATAAAGACAATAATGATGACGATGAAGACGACGACGACGACGACGACGACGACGGCCCACGAAAGGTTACAATCATTCCTCTAGAGAAACTACGGGATACGGGAGGCGTTCCGTATGAAGACCACTATGTGCATAAGAATACGATGCTGTTTCTGAAAGACCTAAAGGCAAACAACAAGCGACCTTGGTTGAAATGTGAGCAGACAAACAGTCATTGTCCTTTCGCATCAATTCCATTGCTAATTGGCCGCTCGACGCAGCACACGATGGAGAATACAGGAGAGCATTAAAAGACTGGCAGTCATTCGTCGACGCGACCACACAGACACTCATCGAGGTCGACGAAACCATCCCCGAACTTCCCGCAAAGGATGTCATTTTCCGCATCCACCGTGACATTCGCTTCAGCAAAGACCCAACGCCGTACAAGGTACGCAAACCCAAATATCACCAAACTATTACTTGTGAAACTTACTTTTGAACTACAGGCTCACTTCTCCGCTGCTTGGTCCCGCACAGGTAAAAAAGGTCCCTACGCGGTATATTACATCCACTGCGAGCCCAAGGCCACCTTCATAGGCGGCGGGCTGTGGCATCCCGAGGCGGCGTATATAGCCAAGCTGCGGGCGAGCATCGATGAGAGGCCGAGGAGATGGCGACGGGCATTCAGCGATCCGCATCTTAAAAAGGTGTTTTTCCCGGCAGTAAAGGAGAAGGATGGGGTGGAGGCCGTGTTAAAGGCTTTTGTGGCACGGAACCAAGACAATGCGCTCAAGAAGAGGCCAATGGTGTGTATCTTTCTGCGTCGCTTTATTTGCATGGGCCACATTATTCTTCCCCATCTCGACTTTGCCAAGATGACTGGTTCCCCTTGCTTATGGTTGGCTAACTCGGTAATTCAGGGCTACGAAGTCACGCATCGTGATATAGAGCTTTTAAAGCTTCGAAACTTCACTATCGGTACCAAGCTTGACGACAGTGTCCTGAGCAGTGACGATGCACAGGCCAAGATCAAAGAGATAATGAGGGGTCTCTTAACCTTTGTATGTCTTCCCTATGGCTGGCGGTTACATCAAGCTGTCAATTTATTGCATACATTTCCATTTCGAATTTACGTGCTGACTGTGGTGTACGATAGATCACTTTTCTCAATAGCGTTGTGATGCCTGACCCTAGTCTCGACGACGAAGAGAGTGAAGAGGAAGATGGCGATAATGACGAAGAGGTGCATAGCGATGACGAGGCCGGAGAAGATGATGATGAGGACGAGTAAACTGCTCAAAACAGAGTCCTGGTTTTCAATTCTTGGCGGATAACTCGGAATCATACGTCTTCATATGCAAGGACGATTGTCATGCATGTTCGTCTTTTGAGGGTATTTGGATATGTGGCTCAATCTCACAGGTCATATATATGCAAACGAGCAATTTAGTCATTTTCGTGCATCGCTTCATCATAAGTCTTACCGGCTGGGTGTCAACTCCATGCAAGGGAACCGTCTTTCACAGGTTTCTCAAATCCAATTGAAGCCTTGTATGGTGCAACGTCGGAGTCGGTGGATATCTCTGTTCTAAAGATGCACGTCAGCAACTAATACACCAATCACACAGCATCTCCCACCCCCAAAAGCAGCAGGCAATATCGCGAACAATTGCAGAGCGAGAAGTCGCCTAGTGGGGGGTTTTGAATCCCCGAATCAGACGAGATTCCACTTATACGCTGGAAGGAAGAGAAATCAGGCCATACCACCCAGCATTGCCTCAATAGATACACCGAAACCGCTTCGCCAAACGGGCCGTATTGCTACTACCACTACTGAAACAAGAGCGGCTATATATACACAGAGCTGCAGAGCAACCCCGGAATAGCTTTAGCCAGAAGCCAACGCCCCTCCCCCGCTTCCCCAAGATCGATCGCTTAAGTCTCCGCATCTCGGGCTGGGATCATCCAAGGTTGGCTTGCCAAGGGACTTCATAGGACATTAGCCGCCCACGCCAATTCGTTTGGTGTGCTTCCTGCCATTTGCTTCTGCGTGTGTGCCTTACCCTTTCGTGGGGGGAGTGTAACAAGATAGTAATACCAAATTGCATAACATAACAGAGTCGCCTTTAGTTACCGTACACGGGCGGATGGCCTATTAGATCGTGCGGCCAAAATATTCATAGATTATGCCGATCATCCATTGCCCGAGAGTTAGTCGACCCGTGCATACTTGCAAGGTTGCATCTGCATCTCTGAATGGGCGCATAGATACACCGCTCGTCTCATTTTGATGCAAGCCACGACAGGCCCGTAGACACCAGGATTGGAGCGTTGGTTATCTGTTAGTTGTGCCTATGACTGTGCGCGCGTGGCGTTTCACAGCGTCAAAAGGCCACCGTCGAAAGCTTACTGAGGGGTCGCCCAGCGTCGCGAAACGTCATATAAGACGTACGCGGATTCTTCTCATTCCAACACCTCTTAGCGTTTATTTTAAGTTCTATTGAGCATAGCATCTTGATCTTTCCACTGACATACCTTTCTAAGTTACTCTCTTGGGAAGTCTTTGTACTTGCTGTCTGTCGTGTGGCAGCTGAAGCCTTCCGAAACCTGATACACAAAGAGATGGCACCAATGGCGACGAGCATTGGTACCACCAACAACATTGGCGGTATTCGACCTCGTATTCTTATCCCTGAGAAAATCTCGCCAGATGGCCTGGCAATGTTAGAACCGCATTTTGACGTGGACGTCCAATTGGGCTTAACCCATACGGAACTCATCGCTCAGATCCCAAGTTATCATGGTTTAATCGTCCGATCGGAAACCAAGGTAACGGAGGAGGTCTTACTCGCCGGCAGGAAGCTTCGCGTGGTGGCAAGAGCAGGTGTTGGTGTTGACAATATCAATGTGCCAACTGCAACGTCCCGGGGCATCATTGTCGTCAATTCGCCCTCTGGAAATATTCTCGCTGCCGCAGAGCACACAATAGCCCTGCTTCTCGCCACTGCTAGAAACGTTGGCAGAGCAGATGGAAGTTTAAAACAAGGAGGCTGGGAACGAAGCAAACTCGTCGGTATCGAAGTGGGACGAAAAGTTCTCGGTATCGTTGGGCTGGGCAAGGTTGGCATGAATGTTGCACGAATGGCAAAGGGCCTCGGCATGAAAGTTGTAGCTGTCGACCCATATGCCAACCCAGACATGGCACGCCAGGCGGGAGTCGACTTGGTGTCTGACCTCAAGGAAATTCTTCCCATCGTGGACTTTCTAACTATCCATACCCCCTTGCTAGCGACGACGCTGGACCTTGTTGGCGAAGCAGAGTTCCAGAGCATGAAGAAGACTGCCCGAGTGCTTAATGTCGCTCGTGGCGGAGTATACAACGAGGCTGCATTGGTGAAGGCTCTCGATGAGGGATGGATTGCCGGAGCAGGAATTGATGTCTTCACTTCGGAGCCTCCGAAAGCAGACTCAGCTGCTGGCCAGATCGCCAGGCATCCCAAAGTAGTGGCCACTCCTCACTTGGGAGCCTCTACCGTCGAGGCACAGGAGAACGTCTCAATAGATGTATGCACGCAAGTGCTCGAAATCTTAAGGGGTGGCCTTCCCACCAGCGCCGTCAACGCGCCAATCATCCTGCCCGAGGAGTATCGCAAGGTGCAGCCGTTTGTGCAGCTGGTCGAGAAGATGGGGCGTCTTTACTCTCAACACTTCGTCAGGGCCAAGGGAGGATTGGTTGGTGGCCGCAAATTTGAGTTGATCTATCATGGCGACCTGGCAGGAATGTCCAACACGAAACCGCTGTATGCCGCGCTCGTCAAGGGGCTGGTTGCCTCCTTTAGCGAGTCTCACGTTAACATTGTCAACGCAACAATGATTGCCAAAGAAAAGGGCATCATCATCAGCGAGACGCACTCACATCAGCCAGGCGATTTGTCATATGCAAACCTGGTGACGCTCAAGGCACACGCAGACGACGGCAGCGGCGAGCAAGTCATCCAGGGGTACGCATCAGACAAGCGGCTGTACATCTCCAAGCTGGATCGCTTCAACGCAACTTTCACGCCGGAGGGGACAATGATCTTTCTGCACAACTATGACGAGCCGGGCAAGATTGGAGGCGTCGGTATGGTGCTGGGATCTCATGGAATCAACATCCGATTCATGCAGGTCGCGAGCCTGGACGAAGAATCGAAGCAAGGTGCCTCTGATGCTGTGAAGCCGGGAAACGAGGCTTTGATGATTCTGGGCATAGATAGACCAGTAGATGAAGAGGTCATGGAGGGGCTGCGCCGGTCTGAAGGAATCCTGGATGTGGTGTTAGTCCAGCTCGATTAAGCCGGTGCGCGGTAGATGGCCATAGCTTGTGATTTAGGCAAAGCAAAGACAAAGACATCGGATGGCACACAGCAGCCAGGTGTTGGCTTACCGCTTTCTAGCTATCATATAGCTCTGTATTAAGCTTAAATAGTGACTTTGCTAATACAATGTTTCAATTGATCAACAAAACCAGATATTTCAAGCTGCAACGTACAATTGTCTTATACCTCTAGTAGCGCTTAGCATGTACTGCCGAGCTACCGAAGCGTGGGGCCGCTTTTGGCGCAGGAACAAGGAAACGTCGTCATCACAGCGCTTGTGCCAGCAGCAAGAGGCCGCTAGCCTCCAGCGGCCCACAGGGCTTGTAAAGCTTCCCTGCCTTGCGAAGCTTCGAGCCGAGTTTCAACTTTCCTTTCATTTCTCTCTCTCCTCTACAGGTCTCAACCTCCACGGTTGCGGAACCCTAAATCTATCGATTGCAGCTCGGACAGACGACAGCCTCTTCTTTTCTCATTACTGCATACTTCAGCAGCGCTTGTCTCGCTCTTCCTACGATCCGGACAATTCGAGCTTTCGGCAGCGACCGTCAGCAGCTAGCCGGGACTGCGGGTCTTGTCGTCGCAGGGACGTGCATCGCCTACTCTTTATCCGCCGGCCGCCATTTCTCTCCCCGACAGTGACGAACGCATTACCGACATACTTCTTCTCCGGCGCCTGTAGCGGCACGATTGAAGCCACCCAACTCGAACTCTGGCGATGAACACGAGAGCCGCCCCGGGAGGCCTCGCCAGCTTCCGCCCTGCGGTGCTGGGCTTGGGGCGAGTATTCGGCCTCTGCTTTACGGCGGTTTCGGCGGCGCCTGTATCGTCGCAAGAGCGTCTTGGGGAGCACACAGACACCCCCGTATGGGTGCTGGCCGTCGCGTCGATGACGCTCGTTTTGCTGGGCGGTGCATTTGCCGGCTTGACCATCGCGTATGTGACTGACCTCAAGTCCTTGGCAACCGTGACACGGGTGACTGACACTGTAGCAGATTGATGGGCCAAGACTCCATCTACCTCCAGGTCGTCTCTGGCGATCCTACCGAGCCGCAACACAAGAACGCGGCACGAGTCCTTCGGCTGCTCAACAGGGGAAAGCATTGGGTATTGGTCACCTTGCTACTCGCCAACGTCATCGTCAACGAATCGCTCCCCGTGGTACTGGACCGCTTCTTGGGCGGCGGTGTTGCCGCTATCATAGGCAGCACAATCCTTATCGGTGAGCACTTGTAGCCTCCTTGTTTTACCACTTGTTTGCTTGCTCTCATCGTGTCGGCCGACTCTTCCATACTAATCCCGAATGCAGTCATTTTTGGCGAAATCGTGCCTCAGTCTGTGTGTGTGCGATTTGGCCTGCCGATTGGCGGAATCATGTCCACACCCGTCTTACTCCTCATGTACCTCTTGAGTCCGATAGCCTGGCCCACTGCCAAGCTTCTCGATTGGATTCTGGGAGAGGACCACGGTACCGTATACAAAAAGAGTGGCCTCAAAACGCTTGTGACTCTACACAAGTCTCTTGGCGAAGTGTCGGAGCGACTTAACCAAGATGAGGTCACCATCATCACCGCCGTTCTGGATCTCAAGGACAAGCCCGTATCAGAAGTCATGACTCCCATGGACGACGTGTTTACGCTTGCAGAGGACCATATCTTGGATGAGGACACCATGGATACGATTCTTTCTTCTGGATACTCGCGAATTCCAATCTACCGCTCAGGCAACCCAACCGACTTCGTGGGAATGCTTCTTGTTAAGACCCTTATTACGTACGATCCCGATGACCGCATTCCGGTTAGAGAAGTGCAACTGGGAGCCGTTGTAGAAACACGGCCTGAGACGAGCTGCCTGGACATCATCAACTTCTTCCAAGAGGGCAAATCTCACATGGTGTTGGTCTCTGAGTTTCCTGGGTCCAACCACGGCGCGCTTGGCGTGGTAACCTTGGAAGATGTCATCGAAGAGCTTATCGGAGAGTGAGTGCTGGAGTTTCTAATTTGTGGTCCCTTATCAGATATAAAATATCCTGAGCCGTGCTATGCTGTCTGTTACTAACGCGAGGCCCTATAGGGAAATTGTCGACGAATCAGACGTCTATGTCGACGTGCACAAGGCTATCCGGCGTCTAACCCCTGCTCCTCGAGTGCACCGTAGGCACAGTGACAATCCAGGCGCAGGAGTGGCGGTAAGGAAGACGCCGGACCTTGTGGCTAATAACCACAAACATCCCGAAGGTCAGACCCTTGACGTCAGCTCTTATAAGAGTGACTCAGGTCACCTTGAGCGCCCTCCCAAGACAGCTGTGTTCATGAAGCGCCAACATTCAGCAGGTCCCGATGGCCGCATGGGAAAGAGTCCGGTGCCTGTTAAAGCATCGCTTGATGAGATGCGACAGCAACTCCGGCTCGGACCCGCGAACCGCGCGGCGAATCCTCGCAGCAGCACGAGAGGAAGCGTGTTCAAGATCAAACAAGGCTTGGGAACAGTAGTAACGACCACCACAACCGAGCCTGCAAAGCCGGTCAATGGCGAAGCAGCGGGCGCAGACGAGCACACCGAAACAACGCCACTATTGGGCAAAGACCAGAATGGAACAAGATAACGATGGGCAATGTGAAAATACTGCTTCAATACATGTGTGCGGAGACGACGAGAGCAATGAAAACAAGTAGCGAACGATGGAGTGCAAATGCTACTATGGAATAGTGCTTCGAAAAGGACGATTGTGTGGCTAGGACACGAGATTTTGTTTCATGTATCTCACTCTTACTTAATATGCTAGCGTTTTCAAGGGCCGTGGAATCTATCCTATGGGCTTTCGGGGCAAACGTCCCTTTTCCTTGTATCAATACTATCAATGTCGTTGATTTTCTTCTTGCCCCTTTACTTGTTTATTCTATTATTCTATCATTGTTGAACGCCTCGTTTCACATCTCTAATCATACCATATAGCATTCATGCCAAATCCAGGTTCTGGAACCCGCACCCTCGCAACCCGCGCCAAGAATTCGTCCTGCCACCGATATATCTCCAACCATCCCTCTTGATCGTCCGTAATGGCAACCCACTCGTCGGTCCAATCGCTCGGCGCCACGGCATTGCTGTGGCCGCCGCTCGTGGGTGTCGGACTCAGGCAGATCTGGCGCTCAATGACACCTTCATCAGACAGCTTGAAGGCGGCGACGTAGCCGGTGAGATCGAAGCTGTTGGCGCGAGACGAGGCGAAGAGATACTTGCCCGAGTATGAGAGAGCGCACACGTCGGCACGGTACTGGGTCCAGCGATTGGGAATGCCAGGCGGGATCAAGGGGAAATGGCGGTGCGTGAAGACGGGCAGGTGAGTTGCGGGATCGATGAGGTATTCGCAGATGCGGTTGCCCTTTTCCATGAGGGCATAGAGATAGTTGCCCGATGGGTGGATGGCGACCCATCGCGGGTGGTCGCGTGGGTCTGGACAGTCGATGGCCCCGACGAGCTCGAGCTCCGGGGACTCGGGCTGTCGCTTCTTGTGGACCCAGAGCTTGTTGGCCGTGAGATCGGCTGAGTAGAGGTACGTCTCTGTTGGGTCGAATACCATGCCGTGGATGCCCGTATTAGGCTGGTACTCGTAGTTCTGGACGTTGTTCACCAGGGCGCCGGAGGAAGCGTCGGTAGTGAACACGGAGCCGTGGCCGGCATGTTTGTAAAAGGGGTTGCAGTAGACTGCGTAGGGGGGCTTTTTGGCGGCGAGGAGGAAGATGGCGCGGGTGTTTGTTTCGGGAGAGGCGGCTTGAGCTGTAAACAAGATTGAGGATTAGAATTAGATTCTTCGAACTTGGTATACATATAGTTGACCTGGGAGAGACGTACGATCGTGAAGCATTGGGTGGGAGACTTGGTGGACGATTTCTGTGGGCGAGTTGACATTGAAGCTCGACCACTTCTTCATGGCAGCTCCGTAGATGGCCTTTTTCTCGTGCTGTTATACAGGGGATGCATTAGTTTTTTCTGTCCACGATATATGTATGCCCTTCAATTCGTTTTTGGACTACGTTTCTGAGCTTACATCAAACGTCATCCATGAGATGGGCTCGTCATGCGCAATCTCGGTGCGCTTGACGAGCTTGAGCGTGAGCGCCTCGTCGTCAAAGGCAAACGTGAAGATGGCGCCGGGCGGCGTCCACGTGCCGACCATGAGATGGTGAATCCCCATTTTCGAGGGCAGTTTTGGCTTCTCACCAATTTCGCCGTTTGTGCGTCGCGATAGTTGTCGCAATTGTCGGCCGCGAATGTGGGTACTAGTGGTTGGTGCGAGGAGCTTTGAACGAACCGCTGTTGCAAGCCGGTTTGAGCTCATGAAAAGCAGGGTCGTACGATGAAGAGTATGAAGATGCAGGATTAGTGACGCGACAGCACGCGCAGTGATGTGATGAGCTTCAAGAGAAATTGATACGGCATCTACAGACTACATCATAGCTTCAGATCGAGGATATTCCTTTATCCCCCTGTCGACCTTGCATCCCCCAAAGCCTCGAATGGTGCTAAAAACTTCCCGATGCTAGTGCCGCTCTCTATACGTGCCTCGAATTGGCGCCGCTATATCCGGAGCCCTTACAAGAATATCGAGAAGCAGCAGGAAATAACTCGCCATTTGTTTGCCGCTCGTTGGACCGGGATTCAAACCGCAGAACTGAAACGATCAATAGGCACCTAGAGAATCGCGGGGCAAAAAAACGACATCACCTGTGCTAAGAAGAGTAAGAGCTCGCCTCGCTCGCCTAAAGTGGGGTTCGGGGGGCTGGCGGGGGGGCCGCAGGCGCTAAAGAGATGGAAATGAGGGGCTTCCCGGCCGGTTTGTAGATTCGGTAATTGGGACTGGAGAAGCAACGTGAGACTTTGGGACTGATGGGTGCAGTGTCGGGTAGTTAATGGCTTGTATCCGTGGGGGATGCGGCGGGAGGGCTATCCGGGGATGTTGATGCTGTAGATGCTCTGTATAGTTGTAATATCTACTGCTGCTTCATAGTCAAATAATATTACTATCACCAGATGTTGAATCGAATGAAACTATTTACAACTACGAGCGTGAAGTAAGGAATGCATGCAGCCAGCTAATCAAGTGCCACATGCAAACTGATGCTGCGCCGTTGTAGGTATTGCAGCAGCTGTGTCTGCCCCGGCGCGGCTTTTCCGGGGGCCGTTCGCACAGCAGCAACATAGCAGTCCCGACTCCAGCTCCCGGACCTCGTTTCCGCAACCCCAGGTGGCTAAAAAATACTCCCCCATGTGCCGGTGGCTTCATGGCCCATCGCGCGTTTTTCCCCACACTTTGCCCCCTTCGACCACTGACCTCGAGGCTATTGTGTCTGACAGCAGTTTCTTTACCCGCCGTGCAGCTATCTATGCATGCATGCACAAGTCAGATCCTGATATTACGTGCGGGTGGAGGATGACCACCTGAAGATCTTTATATATATATATCTCAACGTCCCACCGTCTTCTATCTTTCTTTCATACTCCATTCCTCATTGCATTCTTAGTCTTTGACTCCTCCTCCCTCTTGCATCATCCATACATACAGCTCTAGTACCTAGTTTCACACATTGATAGATACCCCCCGCAAAGCCTCAGTCTCGTTTTTCGATAATCACACACAAAGGTCTCTAAACACCAACAACACATACACAAAATGGCTACCAACGGTACCACAAATGGCACCACCAACGGCGCGTCGGCCCGCTTCGACCCTACCTTCACCAAGCGTGTCATTGAGACCATGGGCCCCAACATGACTCCCCGCAACCGCCAGGTCATGAGCGCTCTGTTAACTCACCTGCACGACTTTGCCCGCGAGGTCGAGCTTACCGTGGACGAGTGGATGACGGGCGTGCACTTTATCAACGCCGTGGGCCAGATCTCAACCAAGACCCGAAACGAGGCCCATCGAGTGTCTGATGTGCTTGGCTTGGAGTCGTATGTCATTCGTTACATGTACCCTTATAGCACCCTTTGACTAACACGCCACTTTAGCCTCGTTGATGAAATCGCCAACAAGATCGTCGCCGAGGGCGACATTGATCCCACCTCATCATCCATCCTGGGGCCCTTCTGGTCGCCCAACGCCCCCTTCCGCGAGAACGGCGGCTCCATCATCCAGGACCCCAACCCCTCCGGCCGCGTCGCCCTGATGCACGGCACCATCACAGACCTGCTCACCGGCAAGCCCATCCCCAACGCCGTCTTCGACATCTGGCAGGCCAGCGCCAACGGCAAATACGACTTCCAGGACCCCGAGAACCAGAGCCCCAACAACCTGCGCGGCAAGTTCAAGGCCGACGAGAACGGCAAATACTGGTTCTACTGCTACCACCCTACTGCCTACTCTCTGCCTACCGATGGTCCTTCCTATAAGCTGCTGACGCTGATGGATCGCCACCCCATGCGCCCTGCCCACATTCACATCATGGTGAGTTTCAACACACACCCAATTTCAACTGACAAATGCAATCCAAGAGCATTGCTAATCAGATATTTTGTAATAGGTCACTCACCCCGAATACAAGGGATGCACAACTCAGCTCTACCCCAAGGACGACCCCTGGTTGGCCACTGACACCGTCTTCGCTGTCAAGGACGACCTCATCATCGACTTCAAGCCCCTCAAGGGCGACGACAAGGCTACTCTAGATCTGGAATACAATGTCGTTTTGGCGCCCAAGGGATACAAGGGCAAGCAGTTCTAAAACAGAGAAGGAAAAAAAATAGAGAAAGCAAAAGATAGGCTGCAGCGGTATTTGGCTAGCCACATGTGTTTTCATGTATAATTTGGATGGGGGTTAGAATGACGACAAAGGGAAAAATCATCGTTCGGTTGTATTATCAGCTAGTTTTGCGTATATGTATTGTATCATTTACTATTTTACATAGTATATAGCATTTTATTTTCATATCACTTTTTGATGGAAGAGGAAATTACGCGGATAGAAATACCCAGCACACGCCCCATTGCTTGCATTTGCTGTTGCTTGCATGCAGTATGCAGCATGTAGGTGTTGCGTATCTAGGCACGCGCAGAGAGCATGGATTCAGGGTCCGAAACTAAAATGGGGGGCGATCTCCCGAGCTCTGCAGTTGACAGGGGTCCCATTGGCGTAGATTGTGTTGGATTGGTGGCCAAATAGCTTTCATGCTGGCAGTACACCTATAGCATTCTTCTGATCGTTATTCCTGTATAAAACCAAGTTGCCGATAGGGATAGCTCTGTCGGTACGTGTGAATCGTTTTGAGCCAACTGCCGCGTCTAAAGTAATGATATCTTGGTATTATCGTAGCACAAGAATGTCTTTCAACTATCTCACATGATCTAGTTAAAGCAATAATGTTATGTTATATAATATGAAGTCTTATGACATAGGCAATTGGCCCACAACTCGGCATACATGAGTCGCTGGCAAGCAAATATCCTTTCATCGACATCCTCGACGATGTCAACAAGGCGAGCAGAGGTTACCTGCACCGATTGCCACATCTTGAATGGCATGATGAAGAAGATTGGCGTCTATCATGTATCCCGTGCTGTCTACCTTTGAAGTGCAGTAAGAGATGTCTTGGTTTCAGGCTTCAAGCGGATATCATTTTTTTCTCTCCTCGCATATCTAGCCACGATATGGCGTTACTGCAAAAACAATGATGAAAGCTTGTGGCTCAAATTCGCGAAATTACAAGAAACTAAATTTACAACCGAATGTTTGATAAAGCCCCGGGTAGTCCAGATGTCTGTCAATCGTAAATGCTGGCTTGCAGATTAACATCGCAGCTTTACTCTAAGAGGCCTCCTGCCTATTTAGGTTGCTATTTTCTACGAGACCCCTGACAAGAATAAAGGCGGGTGCATTCACCGTCGTTCTAAAGTTCATCTCAATTCATTACAATACGAAAATGCATCTATCTCAGTAGATATTTATTGATAGCGCTGAATCGCCATGAAGTCTGAAACCCTCTTTCTAATGGCACTAAGAGCAGCTCAGACTGATCCTAGAGGTACAAGATAACCCGCTAGAGATCTCCATTCTCTCGACCCAACATAGGACACGTCTATAGCCTGCCATTCTTCATTTTTCCCCTCCCCTCCCCTTTATGGCTCTCAAGTGAGATGTAATATTCTTTCCTCCATTATTTTCCGCTTCGGGAGTCCGGGATGCACGCAAAGCTCATGCGGGTCAAGAACCTACCTACGGTACCTACACATCGTAATGTTACTTGGAAAGCTCGCACTCCTTCTTAATTTTGTGCCGTATTATTAATCATACGAGCGAGAAACAATAGAGCCTTGCAGTATGGTATTGAGCACAAGAGTGACAAGAGACAGCCGTTGAAATTTATCAAGTAATTTTTAATCTAAAAGTTATTGCCTGTATAGCGAAACTATCTATAGTCTTGGTAAACAGTTTGTTTATATACTAATTATAATGCCATGTTTTCTCAAGTTAAGCCAAAAGTTATTAAAAAAAGTCAATATTATCAAGAAAAGGTACCTAGGTACTGGGTACCAACACAAAGCGCACGGTGCCATTATCAACAGACGAAAGCAACTCTAGCTCCTTATACCCGCGCTCTGTGATATCTCATCACGATCGACTCGTTTAGACGAGAAAGACAAAGGGGCCCGCCTTTTTTTTTTTAACCCCCCTTCGCCACGTACGCATGCATCTCTCATGTAACGGTTTCGGTTCCTCCCGCGCGGCCAATTCACCAGTTCTCTTGCATATCGCCCAATAGCAATCAACCAAACTCATTATCAACGCTGCCATCCGCCATCTTTTTTCTTCTTCTCTTCTTTCATCACAGTCCCCAGCCACGTGTGTGACGCAACCATGCCACTTTTTCTCCAACCTCGCCGTCACAGTTCCTTTTTGTATTCCTTCTCAATCTCCTTTTTTTTCTTTTTCCTTCTCCCCTCACAAGGTCTGGAACTTTCCGGCTTTGATGCCATGGGCCCATATTTCATAGCTCCAGCCTCTTTACTTTTTCTTTTTTTCTTTCTTTCTTCACCATATACTGCTACCATAGATCTCGTCAATGCTACACTACATTACGCGCACCAGACCGCCATCCTTCCAAAACGCATCATACGGCACATGCCAAAAAACCTAGACAAATGAAGTAAAATGAGATGTTCAAAAGAAACTTTCAATAAATTAAAAAATAAACCTCATGATTGCCCACTCACCCTCCTCCAATTAATACCTGCTCCACCAAAACATGCCACACCCTTTTCTTTCCCCAGAAACCGGCAAATCGTTGTCAGGCAATGCATGTCTCACTCACACAGACACACACAAGCTTCACCCAATTCTTCCTTGCCACGCCTCACACGCCCGGCCCAGCAGGGATCCAGTTCCGCGAAGAAAAGGAAGAAAAAGGTTCCCATGTGGTGCTTGTTTACTCCTGATAAGTCTCTACGTACGTCAGTCAGCTAGAGCTACTACTAGTAGTAGTATTACCTACAAGGTACAAAATTGGCACCTCTACTGCCGATTCTGTACATAACTCGCAGCCGCACCTCTTGCGCAAGTTGCGACAGCTCACAAAGTCAGTCCTCGGTAGCTCCCACTAGCACCAGCGCCAGCTTTGCCAATCGCGCCGTATGACATCTTTTCTGGCCCATCCGGCCTGTTTTTTCCTCTTTTTCCCCTGGCATCAAAATGCTTGCATCTTAGCGCGGCGCCCACCCCCCATGTCCATGGCCGTTGCTGCGGCAACACGTCCCCCACATCAACAACAAACCAGAGCCCGCCACCCACTCGCCCAACCCCCAGCTAAGCCCCGTCGTGTTGCGAGAGAGAGGCGCGCGACCGACCGCAAAAACCCACGGGCGTGTTTCCTTTCTTTGGGGCTGCTTCCCTCCCTCCCTGAAAAGCGTCAGCGCTCCCCTAAATCGAGAAGAGAGCATTCTCCACTTGACGCAATCCAACTGCAGCTCGCTCTTCTGGACTCGGCAAGACATGTAGAGCAGCAGACAAGGTTGAAAAGGGTCAAGCCTGGGTGCCGACATAGCATAGCATAGCTTCAGTTCCTTCCACGCTGCATCTTCCCTTTCCGCAATCTGCAATGTCACTTTGGCAGCTGTAACTTGAGGCATCATTTTTCTTCTTCTTCCTTCTTCTTCTTTTCTCTTTGGGCGCACTTTCTTTTCTTTCTTTGCCAGCTTCGTCCAGCTCTTGATTATCAACCTCCCGAATCCCTTTTGGCCCGCCAAGGGCCCCCCTTCTGTGCTGTCCTTCGTCTTCTTCATCATTGCGCGTTCCAGACCAGCCCGGGTATAGTTACCGTCCGAGACGTCGAGTTCCCCGTCCTTGCCCTTTTGTACAACAAGTGGCTTTCGCAACCCCCAAGAAAAAGGAGCGCCCGGCTGTGCAACCGAGACCCGATATAGATACACGAGCAGCAAAGAGAACTGCATAGCAAATAGACCAGTGTTTCTGCTCGTCATATCGAGCAGAGGCGTGCCATGGCCTCCAGCAATGGCATCTATAATCCCAGCAGCAGCAATTTTAGCACGCCTCAGCATCAACACCAGCATCAGCGAGCGAAGCCATCCGTCCTAAAGTTCATCCACCGCCGAGATCAATCCTCCACCGACGCCGCGCTGCAGCCCCCCAAGGCCTCGCCCCTGGAAGCACAGTTCTCCAACGTCATGCCCGTCGGCAACTTCGCCAGAAACAATCCCGGGGCTCTCGGCGAGCTTCAGCATAATCAGCAGGAGCCGGCTCCTCGACCCCCGCCGCGCAAATCTCGAGACGACCGCCGACCGGAGCCCGAGCCAGAGAATCGCTCAGACTCACCTACTAAGAAGAGCTTGTTCCTGAGCATGAGCAAATCGCGCGAGTCCTCTCCAACCAAGAGCCCGAAGAAGGCCAAATCTGGGACCAGTCTTACGGGGCTGCTCAGCCGGCCCAAGACGGTCAAGAACCTGCATAAGCTGGTAACAGACGGCGATGAGATACGGTCAGGGAAGGACAAGGAGAATAGAACGCCGGTTGAGCCGCCGCACAGTGCTACGTTGCCCGTTTACGCTCAATTCGCCAACAACGAATCCATGAACTCCTTGCCGCCCCCTAGTCCAACTAGGAGCACTAGGGAGTCCTCGGAGAGACGGTCGATGGCTAAGGAACGATCGCGTCCTTTCATGTATGCAACCAGATCACAGCAGGACATTAAGAAGTCGTCTATAAAGTCTGATTCGCCCAACGGGACCAAGTCAGACTCGTTCAAGGGTAAGTCTATCCGAGAGCGAGGCAAAGTCTTTGGAACCTTTGCCAGCTTTGGCCATGGCCGATCCAAATCGGAGACGTCCACGCCCCGGGCTGGCTCCCCTTCCGCAGCTGGTCCCGTGCTGGACTTGAAGGACATCAACAAGCAGCTCGAGGCGCTTCTGGACCGTCGAAACATTCCGGAAAACCAGCGCTACAAGATGCGAAACTTGAGCGACACGATCAAGATGGAATTCATTCGACAAGACTGGGCTGAAATGCGAGCTGCTAAGCTGGAGCGCAAACAAAACCGACCTCGAACGAGCATGAGCAGCAGCGTGAATGGCGGTGCCGCTGCCGCTGCCGCTGCCTCTACATCCACGTCAGCCGTCGTTTCCGATGCTGAAGAGGAAAAGCCGAAGCGAACTCGTGGTCGGAGTTTCACATTCTCTCGCGCGAAAAAGGAGAAGGAGCAAGAGAAAGAGAAAGGCCGCTCAGCCTCTAAAAACCGTTCAGTATCCAAAAGCCGTTCATCGTCCAAAAAGTCCAGTAAAGGAGAGAGCACACTGGGCCGTCATTTCAGAAACAAATCAGCCGACAGCGTGGCCAGCGACAACAGGCCAACCTCGAGCGCCAATTCATCTGCCAGTAGCGGACTGTTGTCCAAGATCAAACTCCAGCAGGGCCCGGCCGACTACGTTGCGTACTTTAGAAAAGTGCGCCAGCCGCAGCAAGTGGAAGTTGGCAAACTCCATAAACTAAGGCTACTACTGCGGAATGAGACCGTGGCGTGGATTGAAGAGTTTATCCAGCAAGGGGGGATGAAAGAAATCGTTGGGCTGCTGAATCGAATCATGGAAGTAGAATGGAGGTAAGCTTGTTTTTTTCTCCCCCATGTTATTTTAACCATCTTTATTTCGTTTGCGTTCTTGATCATGAAGTCTGACTCGGTAAACAAACAGAGAGGAGCACGAGGACGCTCTGCTTCACGAAAACTTATTATGCCTCAAGGCCCTCTCTACAACAGCCAGGGCAATGGAGTATCTCCACTCTGTCCAGGCTGACCTCTTTCCGAAACTACTACATATGCTCTTCGACCCTGACAAGAAGGGCCCTAGCGAGTTCACTACGCGCAATATCATCACATCTGTCTTGTACACGTACATCGAGTCAGCCTCCACCGCCGAGCGCGTTATCAGGGCTAGAAGCATCCTGAGACACCTGCGAGATCCAGAACCGGATGAATCTAACCGACCGCTTCCATTCGTTCTGGAGATGAGGCAAGAGCGGCCTTACCGGGTTTGGTGCAAGGAGGTCGTCAGCGTGACCAAAGAAGTCTTCTGGATCTTCCTCCATCACCTCAACGTGGTCGCGCTAACGCCCGAGACAGACAACTCAGGTGATGCAGCCATGAGCCGGCTTACCAACAACGAGGACCAGCAGTATGCATACATGCGCCGCCACTTCCCACAGGAAAAGGCCCCAGTGCCCGCTGCCCCTTATGTGGGCGGCGTGGAGTGGGACGCGACCAATTATCTCGCGTCTCACCTGGACCTGATGAATGCCATCCTGGCATGTACCCTCACCGCGGAAGAGAGAAACAAGCTGAGAGCCGACCTTCGCATCTCTGGATGGGAGCGGTGCATGGGGGGGAGCTTGCGACTGTGCAAAGAGAAATTTTACGGCAGTGTCCACACCGGGCTCAGGACGTGGGTGGCTGCGGCAGCGGAGGATAATTGGGACGTCAAGGACGTCAGATATGGCCCGCCTGCTGATGCCCGATCCCCAGTAAAATCTGTCCAGCGGAAAAAAGTTGAGGATGCGCCAAAGATCGACATGCCAAAGCTTGACTTTGGATCCAACAAGGTGCAGCAGACAAAGACACAGCCACGGACACAGGCACATTCACAGAAAAAGCCTCCTCCAAATGACGGGTGGTTATCATGATGAAGACAACAAAAAAGAGTCACCGCTAGTTCCAGAGAGCGGACATTTGCTAAAAAGCATGGGTTGTCGAATATCATCCACATGCGTGAAGCGGCAGATATGTGATCGGTTTACGCATGCGGAAATATAAATCCACTCGCAATATGTGGCTCTGCGTCTCGAATAACCACTTGGAAAGGAGAGAGGCGGAAAGAAAAATTAGAAAAAAATAGGACCACATAACAAGATTGTAAGGTGTTTATTGCTGGCGGGTATTTCCATGTCACTATTCTCCTGCGCTCCTGGGCATCCGGTCCAGTTGAGATGGAGACATTGGGTAGCGCCAAGGGGTTTTATGGCTTTTTTTTTATGTATTTTCCTTTGTTGAAACATTGGGGCATGGGTTTTTTCTGTATGATTGCATGTTCATGAGTTAATGACACGACTAGGCCTGCGGGCCACTTCATCTATAGGTATTGACGAAATTTGAGCTCAGATGCTTTGTCTCCAAACCATGATGTACAATTCGTGAATATCCTTTACCAATAGCAAGCGTGGATACAGACGGAATTATATAGATCAAGTTGTGCTCAATATGACTTACCTTGGTAGAAGCAGCTACTTGGTCGTTTGTCTCTCATGCCCCCCGGTGTAGTTTGAAAGCTTCATAGACAGACATGCCTTTGAGGACATCTTCCTTTACTTTGGCATCCGCTGCAACAAGGCTAGGCAATAGTTCCAAGACTTGACCGACTTTATCTTGTGGAATAATCACAACGCCATTGCCCGGGTCGCTAAACGCAACGTCGCCTGGGGTGACTTGAACTCCATTGACCTCGACAGCAACTTGGGCGGCCCATGGCACGCTACCACCACCAGCCCCCACGGTAGAAGTGCCGTAGGCCCAAATCTGTATAATTCAGACCCATGATGAGAGCTCGTCCATAAAAGTCAAAATATTGAAGAGCGGAAGGGGGTGTGTTCACATCAAATAGCAGGGATTCATCAGATGGTGAAGGAGGGGACTTACTGGCAAAGCGGTGCTTCTCAACTCGTCCAAGTCTCTCACTCTTCCGGCAACCATGATACCTGTGACCTGGCGTACTTTCATTCTCAGGGCCATGATGCCACCGCAGACGGCGTTTGTTTGACCTGGGGGCTGTTTTAAAACGGCAAAAGTCCCGGGCTGGATGATATCAGCCCAATGGGAATCCTTGGGGATGTTTTTCAAGGGCAGGCCATCGTCGGACGACCGTTCCTTTGGGGCAAATAAGATTGTAAACACAGGGGCAATGGTAACTTGTGATTCAGTGGCTTGGCCCCCTTGTTGCGGGCTGTATGCAACGAGGTCAGCAATGTAGCCGGCACCGGGGACGTTGAGCTTCAGCAGCGCATCTGAAATGTCACACGCCGAATACTGTGCAAGCTGTGCGATGATGTCGCCAGACAATGGCGACGACTGGGCCATGATGAAGTATGACGGCAATCTTGATAGTGGTCACTGGCGATCTCAGTTGGCATGTGACTCCAAGCCGCTCGTCCAAGAACAGGCTGAAGACTGACCGGGATGCTCCTCTGCCCACTATGCCGGCCGGATATTTCCAATTCTGAGTACTATTCAATGGCTAACGGAGGATTGATCGGACCTTGCGGAGCAAGCTCTGCTGCAACCCGCCGTACCTTGCACCGCTGCAGCTAGGCTAAGTCGGCCGGAGTATCGGAGTGCAGACGCACGGATGAATGCACCCGGAGGGGCGTGAGAGTGAGAATAAGTCGGTGAGCGGCAGCCGGGCTTCAATGGCCGTTGGTGATGATATGGAAACAGAGCAGAGCAAGGCTGGGCCAGGCTACCTGGCAGGTCGCCGCAGACCGGGGTTTGCAGTGGAAATGATTCGAATCTGAGCGTTGTGTGATGCCTCAGGCGGCGGCTGGACGGGCAAGTAACACCGAGCGCTGCAGACAATGGCAAAGTCGGGGCAGTAGCGATGGGGGAGTCGTGGAAGGAACATGAAGTGAGCAAAGTAAGAGGACTGGAGATGCTGTGGCGGCAACTGCAGCTGAAACCGGCGCTGAGAGGTCAGTAGGCCGAGGAGTAGGAACAATTTACCATGGAAGGAAATAGGTACTAAGTCGGCGGCGGCTGTAAGTCACAACCGCAATGACTGGAAGGCACGTCCTTGCATGTGCCAGAGCCGGAGCTACGCCAGGGCTGATGGAGCTGTGGGTAACTGTCTGGTGCTGCCGTCCACTTACATGTGGCGTTCATTTAGCAGTCTGGTTGATTTGAGTGCTTGGCGTTTTAAGGTGCACTGCAGCTAGTCAACCGTGGCTACACAGCGCTGCGTCTCAAACCTTCCATCACTTCTAGCTTCCCTGCGTGTTCCTTCATTTTCAATGCCCACCGCGCTTATAGTGTCTGCAGAACCTCGAATACCGAGTGGGAAAAGACAGACGAAGGAGAAGATTGCAAAAAGATGAAGATGACTGGAAGCTACAGAGGTCCAATGCCACGCCAAAACCCCCAGCGGCTGTCAAAAGGCCTGTAGTGGGGGTGTCCGAAGCAGAAACCGGAGCCACCGTAACACGGGCCGGCCAATCAGCCTCCGTACCAATCCAAACGCCCTGCTGCTGCAAGCTCCAGCACCGCTGCATCAGGCATTGTCCAGGCCTGGCCGGCCCTGTGGCCAAATTCGGTGAAAGAAGGCGGTTTGATAGGATCGAAACAAGAGTCGTGGAGACCGGCAACCGGCGTCGGCGGTGCAAATGATGCCACATTGGCTGCTGTTGGCGTCCCCATGAAGGTGCATGAGGTGCCTCGTGCCGGGCTTTGTGCCTGAATGATTGCCTGGATACACATGGGACGATGGACCTCGTTCGTGGGGCTGGCACAACACGAAGATGCAGCAAGTGCTGGGTGCTTCATCTTCTTACATGTATTCACAGGGACTGCCAGTATTGCCATCTTGGTAGGTGTAGTTGTTATTCAGGCTTGCAAGCTTGGAGAAGGCACTAACATTACAAAATGCTACCCCCAAGCAGGCTGCATGTGGTTTTCACTGAGCTGGCGTGGATGGCGCTAGCTGTAGGATCATGCAACTGCTCACGAGTGAACAGACAATAAGTGACAGCAAAAGAAGAGTTGATACGAGAATCATTGGAAGGATGCCAACCGTGCATAATGAGGCTGGACGATAACGAGTTTCCGATTTGCTGAGAAAAGCCCCTGCGCTCCGGCCAGCGACAGACGACAGGGTATGGGGTAATGGAGGGTCGGCTGGAGCAAAGGAGCAAAACAACAACAACAGCAGCAGACAGACGGCGACGATGGGTGAGTTCGTCCTATTGTGGCCGGTGAGCATGTACGCTCGAGATGATGGCGGGTTGAGAGCTGCATCTTGTGTAACCTGTTGAGCTGCGCAGGATACTGCCGATGCCGCGACAACCCGAGAGAACATGAGGCGCGATAGTCTACTGAGTGTATCCTGCTCGCAGGCTCCTGATTTCTGGCATCTCGATCGGCGTGCATCGAGATGCTAGAGATGAGTTACTTGTGTCTCATTCACTACATTGCCTGACTCTCGACAAACCTTGGGCCAGTCGGAGCCCCTCCGGCCGGCGCGGAAGCAAAGCTTTACAGAAGAGGGAAGGCATAGACTGTGTGGTGAACTCATCAGATGCGACAGGGGCCTCGAATGCGAATCACAGCCTGCCACAATGCCAAAGAACCAAAAAGGAAGCAAAAAAAGGTTGACAAGATTCTGCCAATGGAATGGATGCTGGGCCCTCGCTTACCCCTGTGCGGCCGATGGCAGGGGCCGGTGCTAGTGCTTCTGCGGCTGTCCTCAACGGACGAGTAACTGCAGATCCAACCAACCCCATGCAAAGTCGTGGCATCACTTCAACATGAATGTGTTTACGCCTGACAACTGAGACGGCCAAGCTGGACGAGATGCATGAAACTTGGCACAGCTGTACCTATGCGTTCAGGTACGTGGCCAGTCTCGATCGGCCTATACATGAATCGCCGGGGTTCTCTCCTTTGCTGCGCTGTGAATGCCAAAATCCTTATGTTGTGCTCTCCTCTCCTGCCGTGGGCTGCCATCTTCTGACTACCTATACACGATAGATTGATGGAAACGCTTACGGAATTATACAGCGTGTCTGGTCAGTCAACAGGTCCCTACCAAATTATCATTGCTGCGCAAAAGGGACCTGTTTCCCCCACCCAACCCAAGACTGCGTGGCTAGATCGATGACCGATTTGGGTGGTGGTGTGTGCCGCCGCCCCTCCCCTTTTTGTCGTTCAACACCCCTCTGGCGAAGGCTCAATGCGTGCGAGCTGGACAAACGCAGAGCTGCAGCAGTAGGGCAAGCCACAATGTCTCGGTGTTGGCTGTTCCGCGCATCTCTCATTTGACGAAACTCAAGTTTGGCTGCACATTCATATAGTACGTCACCTACATCTTACCGGAATCCAGGAAAGACATCCGTTGGGCTGGATTCGTTGCGCGGGGGCACATATTGGTGTGAGCCATGCACAGCATCTCTTGACAACTCAAGACAGCATGGAGTGCCTGTGTAACTCGTCGCCAGTTATCCAGGACAGCTGAAATCGAGACAGCCCGAATCAAGATTTCTAGCACGCCGTGCACACACCTGATGTCAGTTCGCGTCTGGTTGTGAACCTATCCGTTCCTCCCTTGCTTCTCCCAGCTCATTGTTGCTATTATTATCTCTCTTAGGTCTTTCACAAGGGTCACGACTCTTTCTATGCATTCCGCCCTTTGCGGACGTCTGTGCTTGAATGGCCTCCACCAGCGCCTGGCCAAAGTGATAAAAAGCACAATAATATGACAGTGACGACGATGCTTACGAATAGGTACATACCAAAAGACGAGCCCACACATGCATATACGGAGCACGTCCATACATGTTGTATGTAGCATGTTGCACGGAATTACATTATACGTACAAAGTACGACCTGGGCGTTGCCGCTTTCACTCATGTCCCCTTGCCTGATCTGGCTGACACATACTTTAGGTAGGTACTTGTAAGTATTACGGAGCGCGTTGTGTACGATTTCTGCCACGGGCGGATGGATCCCAAGGCCGCAGAGCCGGCGACTCGGGTCCGTTAAACCGTAACCAGTATTCCGGGCGATGCCATGTTTTGATCCTCTCCCCTGACGACTAGGTAGGTGTTGGCCCCCCTTCTCACGCTTCTCCCCAGTATATTCGACTAGCCCCCTCGGGGTAATTGGTCGTCTCCCACGGTTAATCCCCGATCTGAACGACGCGGCGACAACATCTCTGGAGAGCTTCCAGGCAATGCAAGGACCAAACACGGGGTAAGCTCGATGCTATCCAGAGGGTGGCTTTTGCAGGGGCAGAGCCGGTTGCCATTGGCCACGCGACGGCTCGCACCCCCGTCCTGTTAACCAATTGCCAGCAGAGCAGCCCTGGTATTGAGCGCTACACAACGTGCGTGTTCACAGTCTAGCTCCCGCGCGGTTCTCCAGTCCTAGCTGACGCACCTAAAGCTAGATGCTGCAGCCTCTGCATCGACCTCATGTATAAGGAGTCGCGCCATGGTCAGATAGCCTGGTCGACGCGAATCTCGGAGGAGGCTGGGAGCGTCTATGACGACAGACCGGGCTGGACCAGCGAGGACGAGAGGCTGCCAAGGCCCCGGGTTTGCATTGACTACGAGCACGTGTAATGATGCATACAGACCTCACTACCTAGTAATGCATCTGCCTCTACCAGGCATGTAACAAAGCAGCCTACATGGGTGGCTGACCTGTCTGTCTGTCGCGGTGCCTGGTCGCGATTAAGGTTGGACCAGCATAGCATTGATCAGCAGTATCCAGGCATCATAGTGGCAGGCAGAGACGCGATATGGGTCCGGCCCTGGCCTATATGGACGCCGGGAGGAGCAGAAGCGTGGCTGTCCTGCAGGCGCTAATCTGCTAGCCATCTGAGCAGGGCCAAGGTACGCGGTAGGTACAGGCGCTGCTCTGCTTAGCTGGCCTAGCCTTGACCAGGGCCTGCGATCCATTCGATTGTAGCGGGCTTGTACCAAATGAGAATAGCTGGCCGCAGCCGCCCGCACACGTCTGAGCTGTCACTATTCTTGCGTGTAGGCGCAGATTGAACACCGGCAAATATCAACATCTCCTTCTCAAACACTAATAAGGGGAATTTAGCAATAGCTTCTACTGTGCTTGGGGGAGAAATTAGAATCCTGTGCTCTTCGTGAGATGAGTCTTGAGGCTTTGTAGGAGCAGGAGGCAAGGCTGATGATTAGTAGGAGGGAGGTCGTAAGATACCACCCTCCAGATTTCTTAGCTGGTCAGATGGAGCGGGATGTTGGAGATGAATTCATCCCTCTGATTATGATTAGATTCTATACTAGGTAGGTGCTCGGAGTAGTACACGTCGTACAACTCTGAACGACTAGGATTTGATCTCATAATGACGACCAGTTCAACTCCTTGATATGGGCCGTCCAAGGGGCTTGCCGCTGCTGGCCGCAAGAGAAGAACGCAGCAAGCTCCAAGTACAGGGCAGCAGTATTTTTACACACACGCCACTTTATTGCCGCTACATCGTTTTTATCTCCAAGTTGAGCAAAGAAGCCAGCTTGAGCCCTTGCAGCGCACGGGCATTGCCTCCTCACAGCGGCAGTAGGCGGCGTAAGGGGCGTTTCTTTTTCTTTCTCGGGAGGGCAGCCAAGACTACCAGATATCATGTCATGTTTGGTTTTGTTGGCCCAGTGCTACGGAGAAATAGTTTGCTACCCACTTGGGTCGAATATTGGTCCATACCCCAGCATCGAGCTGGGAGGAAATACCAATTACCTGGTAGTAGTTATCATCATCACTGACACCTCTCAGAACCGCGCCTTGGGAGCACGACTGGTGGAGGCGGTAAGTTCAGCAAGGTATGGTAGTAGTAGTAGTACCTAGGACTCGGAGCTTGTACTCGGAGGTACCTCGCCGTACCCAGCATCCCCCTCGTCCATTAGGCGAGCTGCAGCAGCTGCCCGCAGTGACCTGGTGCCGCCGATGGGCTGGAAGAGTGAAGAAGAGCCGCTTTCTGCACCACCGAGAAACCAGACTAGCACTGCTGCTGCTGACTCTTTGGTGCTAGCGAGGGCCTTGCCGTGCTTAGCTGCGCGGTTCTCCGTGCATCTTTTGTGGACTGCTCGGATCCTGCTCCATACAGGACCCAGCGCAGTTCATACCATTGTCACCACCAGACGACTATTGCTGCTGGACTTGTACCTTGGGTACTGTGCGCCACGCCATCTGTACCTCTACGGAGCCGTCGCTGGCTGCTCGCTGCTCGTTCGCCCAGGCCAAGGCGCTCCAAACGAAGCATAACGCAGGATTACATACGCCCGTCCGCGGCCAACCTGCCGCCTGACAGATCACCTCACACAGCGCTTGAGCGGGTGTTTTGCCATTTGATGTACTCGGATGTACATGCAGGCAGCTGTTGCCCCCACACCCCTCCTCTTTTTTCTTCTTCTTTCTTTTTTCCTCTGTTCCATTTTGGCTCCGTCGTCTCCTCACTCCGCTTTGGCTGAACTCACTCCGAGCATCCACGTCTTGTTCTCGTCGCCTCGTCACAAACCACCCCCCAGCCACCCGTCTTTTTTTTTTCTCCTCTTCCCTGGGTCTCCTCTTCCTGGCCCTTCGTTCGCCGGTGCTGTCTTTCCCCCGTTTGGCCCGACCAACCTCGAGCAGCCTGCAACTCCAAGCCCCACCACACCTCCATCAACAAGGGCCTTACAGAGCCTTTCCAGGGTTCTGTCGAAAGGGACGCTTGCGAGATCTCCTGCTACTGCCACTGCTACTACTGCTAGCACCACCAAGCAGCAGCGGCAGCACTACCTCCGCCCAGAGGACACAGAGAAACACACACCGGCTGCACTGCTGCTGCACGGCGTGCCTGTCTGTACGTGGACGGTCCATCGAGGCGCCTGCTCGTCTAGCCCAGCGATCCGGAATAGGAGCTAGGGTTTCGAGCAAACCCTTGTCAGAATCATAAACACAATGTCAATAAAGTAAGCCTGCTTCTCGAGCCACCGTCGTCCCGTCTCTTTTCTCTCCTTCTTCCCAAGGCCCCCAATCCTGCTGCGTCTCTTGTTCATTGCCTGCCGGTTCCGTTTCTCGATTCTTTGTAGCTGGGCTCCGGGCTTCACGTCACCTCTGGCAGGAGAAAAAACTATTTAATTCCTCCTCGACTCTTCTCCTCTTCTCTCCTTCTTTCTTCCTCCTCCTCGAAACCACCTTTTCTTCCTCTTCTGCTGCTGCTTCATCTTGCGTCTTCATCTGCTTCATACAAAAGAGAGCGCAAGGCGTTTTGCTGCCCTTTGTCTCTCGCTGTCTGCTGCTTAGCCCGCTCTTATCTGATTCTCTCTCTTTGTCTTGCCTACTTTTGCCCCATCTGCCTGCTTGCCAACAACGTCGTATCTATCCTCGCTGTTTGCCCTGCCTGCCCTGCCAGAGAGTGTTTCTGGCCACGGCTTCTTGCCCCGCTATCGAACCCAGAGATTCATGGGAACCATGTGCCTGGGCCCCGCCCCACGATGAACAACCCTCATGACTATCTTATCTCGAGCGCTCCCTCGCGGCCGATAGATCCTGACAATGCCGATAGTTGGGTTATGCTCAACCAGGGCGGATTTGTGAAGCTGGGCAATGAACGAATCCTGTACAAGCTCGATTCGCGCATATCATGCGAATTGTCCGTCCCTCCCGAGCTAAGAGATCGCTGCGTCCCGTTCCAGCGCAAGAGTGACAGGGGAGCTCTCTTCCTAACCAACAAGCGGGTTGGTCCAGCTTTTCCTAAACAGCCCCATAATGTTTGGCTCTACGTATACTAACATGGACGCCAGGTCATTTATATCCCCTCAAAGCCAACGCAAGAGCCAAAGTTCGAGTCCTTCAGCGCCCCCATCCTAAAGTTTCAAGATTCAACCACCTCGTCGTCTATGTGGTGGGGATGGGTCTGGAAATCAGACTGCATCCCCGTGTCAGGAGGTGGCATTCCGCCTGAGATACCCCGAGTCGAAGTCAAGTTCACCTTCTCCGATGGCGGCATGACGGAGTTTAACGAGGCTTACGTCGGCTTGCGCGAGCGCCTGTTCCAATATCAAGAAATGCGCCGCGAGTTGGACGCCAGTACTGAGGTTCCGGACGAACCTCTGCCTGCCTACTCGGCCGATGGCAGTGGCCAGCAACAGCAGCCCTCGTCATCGGATCAGCTGACTGTCCCGCGACCCAACCGCTCAGACAGCTCTTCCAGTCGTCGTGCCCCCAACGAGCCGCCGCCAAACTACGATGAGGCGCAAGCGCAACAGATCAGCAACCGATTGGAAGACCACATCCGTAACGAGGTTGACCGAGGGGCTGAAGAAGAGTAGGCAGGATCATGAGTGCTCCGTAGCGAAGCGTTTTTTGGGTGAAGCGAATAATGAGACTACGAACTATCTCTGTGTGATTTTTGTGCTTGATTCTCTTTGTACCGGACAAGCTAGACAGTTGAGTTTAATTCGCCGTAATTTATTGCTATTGGGTGGAATTTGGATGGCGTCAGAACGATCAATTACAATTACAGTATAGGAATTACAGATGGACAAGGGCGATATATTAGAGCCCTCCAGGCCCATCTCTTATGGATGGGCCGGTTTGATTAAATGGAAAGGATTTCTTCTCTCTTCATCAATATTTCAACCACAAAGCTGCAGATTGTCCCACCTCTTGTGATTCCATCCATTGTTCATGTCTCACCTCGCTCTGCTTTGGCTGTGGAGGTAGGGGGTGATACAATCCATACAACCCCTCCCCATTCAATCGGAGATCTTGAACCACCCCCCAGTCTTGGAGTGAGCATCAGCCAAAAACGGCAACCCCAGCTCTGCCAATAGCACGCTGCAACGATACCGTACCTAACCTGCTTGCAAAGGTACGTACCGTCTTTGGATGGCTTGCTGACAAAGACGACGTCGGACACAAAATAATGCGACAAGTCCCGTGACCTTGATCCGGCTGGGCTGGACCAATCAAAATGCCTCAATTCCGGGTCAGCTTTTCGCGAATTTGACCGACAGCTTCCGAAGCGCCAATACGCCTCATCCAAAACGTACGATACCGCACACGGAAACCGATCACACGGCGATTACCACAATTTCGCCAAATCATCGCAATGGGTATCTGGGACGCTTTCTCCGAGATTGTCGAGGCGGTGACGCCATGGAGTGTTGTGGAGGCCGAGGCTCCGGCTGAGGAAACCCAGGTAGGTGGGATGTCTTTTTGGGAAGAGAGAGAGAGAGACAGAAAAAGTATTATGATGCTCTTGGGCAGCTCTGCAGGCCAGAAAAAAGGGGGCGGTCAAAATCTTGTCGAGCGACATCGGAATTACAATACACAACGGGGAGAGATGTTCATTTTCTCTATGGGCCTGGAGCTAATTGATTGTTTTTTCTTGTGATAGGAGGCTCCCGAGGCCCAGGTAGAGGACAAGAAGGACGAGCCTGAGGAGGAACCCGCCGCCGAGGAGGAGGAGGACGAAGAGGAGGAGGAGGAGGAGGAGGATGACGAGGAGCCCAAGGACCCTAAGGAGGAGCTCGAGGAAGGTTCGTGATTCATTCGTCCTTTGTCATTTTTTTTTTTTGCGCATGATGTGCTGTCGTCGCCTGCGGGTGCGGGGCGAGGCATTTCCGCAACTCATGCTGTTTCGCGACAATTGGATTTCCCTCCTCCCTTTTTTTCTTTTACGGACGTTGGTATGCTAACGAGGCTTTTTTTTTTTTTTTGTTTATTCAGAGTGCAAGAACTCTCCTCAGTGCTCCCCCGCCAAGCACCACTTCGACGAGTGCGTTGAGCGAGTTCACCAGCAGGAGAGCGAGGGCGAGGCCAAGGAGGACTGCGTCGAGGAGTGTACGTTTTCCTTCTCCCCATTGTCGCTCACACTAGTCTATCCCCCGAATCGGGCTTTACATGTCGGAATTACTTTCGGATTGCTAACATGAGATATAACCTTCTTTTAGTCTTCCACCTTGCTCACTGCGCTTCCGCATGCGCCGCCCCCAAGCTGTGGTCTAAGCTGAAATAAACGCATCCTCCTATCACAAGGAAAACACGAAAAACAAAATGAAATAAAATCATACATCCCCCGACGAAAAAGCATGCTCGAATCCGGGAAGGGAAAAAAGAAGAATAGAGGGGAGAGGGAAAAAAGAGTTCAATTCACCTTTTTGGTTTGGGGATATGTTTTTCATTTAGATGACCGACGTTTTCTCTATCCACGACGGTCAATGACAAAAGCAGCAGCCCTCGTTGTCTCTCGGCGGAGCTGCCCTGTGTGTAATCTTACGCTCAGCGAGCAACTGAACAAAAAAATAGATTTTTCTTCTTCACTTTTCTATCGTGACGACACCGCCCTCTAATAGGCGCCGTTTGATTTTTACGGTCCCCTTATGGCTTTCTCTGTTCACTATTTGATTTTTAAAACTGTTCCTAGGTATGCTGGATCTTGCTGCTACTGTTCGTTTGGTGCCTATCCATGTATTATGCGCCCAAGGCAGGCCACGACGTAGTATCTCCCAATTGCTACACATGTGAGCTTTGGTGGTGATTGTATGCGACCAATCTCATGTCATTGCCATTTTCCCTCGATTGGTAGCTTGAAAGTATTAAATTCCCATCTGTATCACGCAACCGCCCGTATTTTCCCATGATATCAACAAGCTCCCTATGCATTAGCTGCTCAGCATTGACATTATCAAAGGCATATCAAAGAGGAGCATTCGAGCAGTGCAAGCTAATGTGATGAATAGCAATGTGTTCAACACCCCCAAATATATTACACACAACCGGGCCCTTTATTTATCAGTCTCATCATCTTATGATGAATAATCGCCCTAGATCAGAAGCCAAACTTTGGATGGCCAAAAAGAAAAGAAACATCCGAGAAAACGCCTGTTTGCTAATCGCATCGTATAATTCGCTTCACAAAGAAATAGCGCCCCGTCGGCTCTCTCGAACGTGCAACATTCCTTGCAGACCGCAAAACACGAAGAAGCCCTGCACGCAAACACACACAATGTTAGAAAGAAAGGCTATGGATATCATCGCGCGTAGCTTGCTGCGTCTCGAAAGGGTTCAAATCGGATCGAAAGGAGCAACACGTACGATGTAGACAAAGACTGCAGTAAAGACTGTGCCAGAGACGGCCTTGCCATCAGTGGGATCGTCTACGCCTCCGACGAGCTCCTCGTGGCCGGAGCGATATAGAGCGGCGAGGACGGTGAGGATGATGATGGCGAAGAAGGAGATGACGGTGCTGTTACGGGGTCCCACCACACAAGCTGTTAGCCAATAGCTCTTTCACGGTTTGGTACTGTCTTCACTCTTCTTTGAAAGCTAGTTTTGGGGATAGATGTTCAGGGCTCCGATATGCTGAGAACGTACCAAGACCATGCCTGCATAGCACTGACGACGGGCTTCATGATGGGCGAACGGGGGCCTGACGCGCGGCTAGGAAAGACGAGGCAGGGTCGTAGCGCTTTCGCTCACGGGAAACGAAACGATCGAAGAGGTTGTCAAAGAAGGAATCACGATGAAACCTCGGTGTTTTTTCGTTGCAGCAAATGATGGATGTTAGTGGCTGTGGTATGCAGGTTGCGTAGCTGCCAGTCAAATCAATAGCGCAACTAAAACGGAGCTCAGCACCCGGCGTCGCGGCCGGGGCGCAATAGCTCGATGCCTTGGATATCAGGCATGGACGGACTGCTATACTAGACTCCGGGACGTGGGGCCTTAGGCGCGCGGAAGTGGCGGCCAATCCTAAGCTGAGACGCCGGCGCTTATGAGTAGGTACCTTGCCTTGTAAGGGCTTCTTTGGACGGGAGGGGATCGGATCTGAGCAGGGAATGTCTTTGTTTCCTTAGAATAGCTGTTTAGCGTCAGATTTGCGTGGGTCTGATGTTTTCATTGGTTGTGGCGAGAAGTTCTGCACATAGACAAGATTCGGTGTTGATGGATGGAAGAGAAAGGCTAGCTGGTGATGAATGGGGCTGAGGCTGGATGCGAATTTCAGGCTTTTGGTGTTATACGGGGAGTTGGGGCTTAGCAGAGCTCCAGCCTTTTCTTGTTCCACGATGGAGAGAGCATGGTGATGCTCGTGTTCTAGCTCCATCATGGAATCCCGATCCAAGGTGTAGTTGTATAAGATTCACGCATTACCGCATTATCAATTCTTTCTAACAGCATGTTATATAGCCTTGAATACAGCAGGATGAGCTGCAGCTTTCTCTATACACACTCATGGCCGCCCCCTTTCTTAAGGAAGCATTTTAGGCTCAGCTGGCCCACCCAATGTCGCACCGCGGCACGGCTGGCCACCTATCATCCAGCCAGGGGTGCTCCCTGTGCGAATCTGGAGTCGCATCAGGCAGCCCTCGCCCAGCCAACCAGCCTTTGTGGCCTGGTGCAAAGTTTGGGGGCAGGGAAAAGGCATCTTGGTTTGATGGGTGCCAGGCAGTTCCAAAAATGAAGAGCTGGGCTGAGTGTCCTGACAGCCTGGCGGCTCAGTCGGAAGCCGGCAGGCGGAAGATCTGTTTTATTGTGGACGTGAAACAAGAGCAGACGGGCTGAGATTTTTCGAATTTGGGAATATAAAGTGAGATTGGGCTCGAGTGCAGCTGTGCTGTCCTGTGTTTCTGCCTTTCATTTCCGCTGCTGCAAGGTCCCTCTTCTTGTACACACTTTCTTTGTATGTCTGTGGAGCCGGTTATCGACAGATTCAACAAACAATCGCCTTTTCTTCGGTGAGAGTACCGCGGGTCGAGTCATAAGTCGTACCATATAGGGACATAGGAGCAAACAAACAGCCCTACTGATTGACAACAAGCGAAAAACGAGGACATCAATTTCTGTCTCACTTCGCTACAATCCCGCGCCAAGTAACATTGTTGTCTATTACTCGAGATCGAGAGAGAGAGAGAGAGAAGGGGCAAGCTATCGTCGCTGCAAGCAGTATTATTAGTTTCGAGATTTTCTTTTGAAAGACGAGGCTTCATCTAGATTCAGGTATGTGCGTGTGCTTCGTACCACCCTTAGGATGGAAGCCCTGCTTGTCTCAAGTTTGCGGTGTCTTCCTTCTGTTTCCCCTTTCTCGGCTGCAGCTTCCCGCTACCCTCGTGCCGTTCAGACCTATAACTGCTTTGCTCCTCTCGTCGTCCTTTCAGCTTCAAGCTTCTCATTCACACGTTCATTTGTATTGCGCTTACACGACTTTGCAGCATAGAATTACTGTCTAAATAATCCGGTATATCATTATTTCACCACCAAAGAACGACAAATTTTCTCTCCACCATTACGATGCGGGCTTGCAGTGTTCTAGCGATTTTCTCAACCGTCAGCTGTGCCGCAGCTAAAGATGCGCCCGTCATTTCTGGGAATCCTCAAGGCGTCGAGTACAAGGCCGTTCTGCCCAAAGAAGCTTTCTTCCCCAAAGCGGAGCTGGTAGGCAACGTCAAGGGTAATATATCGGCAGTGGCAGGCCCTGGTGGCAAGGGCGTCGGATTCACCGTCCAATTCGAAAACCTCCCCAAGTCGGGTGGTCCTTTCAGTGAGCATTGTCCATCTAGAGACGTGATTTGACGGTAGCTCAGTGGCTAATCAGTTGATCTATGCAGTCTATCACATCCATGAGAAGCCAGCTGTCGACGGCAACTGCACATCAACTTTGGCGCATCTAGACCCGCTCGGTCGTGGCGAGACGCCTGCTTGCGATGACTCCAAGCCCGAGACATGCCAAGTCGGCGACTTGAGTGGGAAATACGGCAAAATCACCTCCGATCCTTTCTTGGCTGAATACTTTGATCTCTACACCTCTATGAAGCCGGACAATCCGGCCTTCTTTGGCAATCTGTCGATCGTTGTCCATTACGCAAACAAGACACGCCTGACCTGCGCCAACTTTGCCAAGCTGCAGGTCTCAAGCAGTATTACAAAGTCAGCTCACTCGACCACCAGCTCTCGCACTGCTACCAAGGCTCCAGTTACTACTGGTGCTCACAACATTGTTGGAACGCACAATACAACAATCTCTCATAATGTCACAGGCCCACATCATACTACAGGATCTCGCCCTACGAAAAATCCACACAACGTTACAAACGTCCTCTCTGCCACTGGCGTTCTTACTCGCACCGGCGTTGTAACTGCTACTGGCGGCCTCACCATTCCGACGAGCTTCACTACTGCCTCTACCAGTGATGTCGGAAGTGCAAGTGCGACATCGACTACTGTGCCCTTTCCGGGGGCTGCTGCTGGGAACAAAATCTCGATCTCTTTGCTGGGTGGCGTTGTTGCCATAATGCTACTCTCCCTGTGAGACATGAAAAATGGGATCGCCTTGCATGTACATGTAGGTAGAGCCTTTGTGCGATACCCCTATTCAGGATGGGAAAGGAGCTGGGTTTCTTTTTGCTTTTTTCCTCTCATACACATTTAATGATAGACCAGTGTTTGCTTTTGAGCCGGCTCTTATAGTTAGACAATAAGAATTGACATACCTCCTTTATCAACGGATCTGCCTTGCTGCCGTGTGAAGCGCACAAACTGCGACTAGTGGGATGCGGCTGAGCTGTACAATCAAACGGCTCAACTCCATGCATGGTTGCATGTAATTTCCTCCCGTCCACCTTGATTGGCCCCCAAAGGCAGGGCAAAACGCTGAGGCAGAATGAAAACGAGGCAGGCTGGGATTTGGGCGCCACCATGCAAGCAAACGGTACCTGATTGCCAATAGTTTTCTTTCAGGCCCTCTCCCTGCTTACAACATGGCATGCAGTGACAGCTCATTAAACAGAAGCGAGTCCCTCCGTAGTGGTGGGATTTGCTGCGCAAATGCTGATCGTCATGAATCGCAAATAATATTGATCCAGGCTGCTGCTTGTATACCTTGAAGTGCCTACCTAGGTCTCAGAGTATAAAAAAAACAAAGAAAATCACCTTTAATTTGGCTTTGCCTGGCGTCACTCGGAGGCGCTTCACGTGATTGGCATTTCCACCACAAGCTGCCACCAGACTACGGCGCATGCATTTGCTTCCATCATAAACTGCTTTCCTCTCATCCTCTTTTTCTTTATCAGATGCTCTAGGCTGACGCCTTTAACTGCAGCACAATTCCTCTTCTTTCATAACTATTTCGTTTCCTGTACCCGCAAATAGCCTTATCAGGGCGGCCCCAGCATTCTTTTTCCTAGCATCACTAACTAAACTGGAGCTCCAGTCTCTTTTCAGCTGCTCCACCACCCCACGTTCTTGAATGGGAAGCTTTTAGCAGCGTTCGACGTCAATCGCATCAATCGCTCTCGAGCATGATAGGATTGTAGAGGTTTCACGGGAAAACAAAAAAGCACAATGGCAAAGAAGAAGGTGAAGCAGGCTGTGGGCGAAGACGATGGCGGGATTGGAAGCCGGCCATCAGTGCCTGTTCCTACAGCGCGCCAAGCACAGCCATCGCCAAGTCCAAATTCAAGGCACAAATCAAGAACTCCCGACGCGGCTCATTCGACGGCAGCTCCAACGGGGCTTGCAATATGTCGTAATAAGTATGTGTATGGCACTCGTTTTTTTTTTTAAAAAAAAAAATCCCCTTTGTTTTATCTTTGTTCGGGCTTCATTGACACTGTTATGAAATCAGACATTGGCGCCATATCTCTTCCTATCACGGGCCATGGTTGCAAATGCCGTACGAGATATTGGAGACTATTGCCAATATCAACTACAATACGCCATTGCCGCGGCCCCTCGATGCTGCCTCGTTCTTTGACCTTGTCAAGGCACGACGGTTGGTCGACGAAGCCACCAATCTTGCTGTGAGGGCTGCTAGTGACATCGCCTCGCCAACACTGACCAGCGTCAACGGCGGCTTTCCGGGTATATCTTCGATGATGTCTCACGGAATGGGCGCTCCGGGCCATGGCGGGAAACTAAGCAGAGAGCGAAAGTTCAAAATGAGAGAGCAGGCGAGCCAGAAGCTAGCGCGCGCATATCGCTTGGACGAAATCGTTTGCAGTGTTGCAACTATGCAAGGCGCGTCGCCGCTTGAAGATGTGGGCAATCTCGTTTTACAGCGCAATCCCAAGGATCCTGATGCCAAATATGTTCACTTTTTCCATGAAAAGATACCATCGAGGAAAATGGCCGAAAGCACGAGTTTAGAGCCGCTGACGGAGATTATTGGAGACCGCCCAGGGGAACCAGAGGTGCTACGAACACGTGCGACGGTAAAGGTGTTTCAAAACGATTTAGAAGGCGCAGTCTTCGATCTCACCCATGCCTTGTCTATATCTCAGTTCATCCGCAAATCTCACCAACCTAAACAGGAGGATACACAAAGCGTAGACTCACAACGCACCGCCGCTAGGAGGCGGCCTCATGATGTCATTTTGCCGGAAAAAGACCAGCCGAGCAGCCTTGAGGCTCAATTATACTTCCAACGGGCATCAGTATATTTGACACTCGCTTCGGATAATGCTGTGGACAGCATGCCAGCACCACCAACAAATCAAGCCAACGGGAAACCAGCGATTACAAATTCGCGAGATGGGGAGGCAGAGGCAGAGGCAGAGGCCACCGATCCAGGCAAAGAGATATCCCGAAAGCAGGTTGAGTCACGGAAAATGGCCAAAAGCTATGCCAAACGGGCCATCAAGGATTACTTGTCTTTCTTTTCGAATATCCACTATTCGCCCAATCTTCCGGCCAAGATAGCCAAAGAGTTCAACGACCGCGTCAGCATGGTCATGCACGGCATCCGCAGTTCCAGAGCCCTTGATACAAGCAGTTGGACAACATCACACACGGTTCACTCCTTACCTGATCTTTTTCGTTCTGTTCCCCCGACAGACCTTCCGCCGTTTACAGCTCAAGATCTACTGAAGCAAGGTGTGCAACAGCCGTTAGACGAAACTGCATGTGAATGGGTGACGTATCATCCGCTTCTTAGTGACGCTTTGCACTCTCTTCTCTTGGCCCACTGTCTAGCTCAAACCTCCACCAAAGAAATCCAGCGACATGCTTACATGGTTGCTCGTCTTATCAGGCTATCCGACGGATATCCCTTGTTTCAAGCGAACAGGTCGTCTGCGCGAGCCGATTGGACCGAGCTGGTTCATTGTGCCGGCAATTGGTTACAACTCAGTTCTTCGTGGGACAACTTGTGCCAACCTGTGCCACTGCCTACATATCTTGAAGATCCGTGTAAACACCATTGTCTCAAGCACGGTGGTAGCCACAAAAAGACTCCTCCACATCCTGAGAGATCCATAGCAGCCTCGGCTGCGGCGGCGCTCGTCGGTGGAGGCGCTTTTGACGCTGCTGCCGCTGCTGCTGATGAAGAGCAGCGTCGAAAGGAGCTAATCCGCGAGCAGGCTATAGCAGATACTCTCGACGATGAGCGCGTTACTGACGAGGCTTCATTCCGAGCAGCCGTCAAAGCTCGTGAGAAGCGAGCTCACCAAAGCCAAGCTTTATTCTCTGACACAGCTTCCAACGGCACTTTCCTTACTATTCACGCAGGTCCGGGTTTGAGCATGAATGGTTCAAATGAGACTAATGGGGTCAATGGGGCCAATGGTGCAAGTGATATAAAGGAGACAGAGACTACCAATGGCACCAATGGCGTCCGTGGCACAAGCGGCTCAAATGGTGCGAGGAACGGATACAGAGCTATAAAGGAGACTGATCTCGAACCCGTCCCATCGCAACGCTGGTCTACCGAAGATGGCAAAGAATACACCCTCACGACCGAACGAGCCAATGCAATTGCACGATGGGTCCAGGAGGCTCCTGTTGTCACCGGCATGACAAAGCGCAAGAAGCGAACTAAGAAGGCGGATGGCAGTACCAACGGCCCCAACGCAAAAGTAGATGAAGCTGAGAAGGGCATCCAGAAGCTGGAGATTTAATTACGTGGTTATGATATGGTAAAAGTGACAGATGCTATATTATTCTTGCAGTAATGAAAGAAACATATGAAGATTTACAACAAGGGTCAGGCTGGGCATATTGGCGCCGCCATAATGGTAACATTTATTCCGCAAGCGTGGTAGCTTGTACAGGCAGAGCAAGACAATAGAGAAGATATTTATTTGTGTACAATTAGTTTCAATAGGTACATGTACCAAATATAAGCGTGAAATCGAATATCAGTTTCCCTCAATACATCTTCATTGCCGCAGTTGCTCCAGTAGAAACTGCGCCGTTTCTTCCCAGTAATCCCGCTGAACATTCACAAAAAGAAGTATGTATCTTGAAAATCAACAATCATCGATTCCTCGCCTCGCGTCGCGTCGCCAATTCTATTCCTTCGTCGGTCATATCCAAAGCATCACCCCCATCAATGAGTTTATATCCCCTCGAGCGCTTCCTCCCATCAACCAACGTCCGCCACTTTTTCCTCAGCATCTTGCCCGTCTTGGATTCGTCTTCTGGCCGCTCGGCGCTCTCACCGTCCCGAGACGAGAGGCTCATTGACGTGGTGGAGAGCCTGAGGAGTGGCGAGAGCGGGAAGTGCGTGACAAAGTCGTTGTATTCTTCTGCGCTGGGGAAGGGCAGGACGAAGGAGGGAGACGGGCCGAGCATTGTAGATGGCGTGTTCTTGTGTAATTGTTGTTTCTCGCTTTGGAACTGCTTGTGTGATGGGAGGTTTGTGTGATATTAGATGGTTTGTAGTGGTAATATTCGGTTGACATGTACAGATACACAGTGGCTGCTCTTGTGCTTCTTCGATATCGTGTAAGAGATCACAATGTAACAATCAAGAGCATTAAGGAGGTTTATTGAAAGTCATTTTGGTGGTTATAACGCGTTCGCGGTACCAGCCGTTTGTCAGTAAAAAACAAGTGAGACAAAACTGAATATCTCAATCAGGGATCTCGCACAATTGAGATTGCATTCCCTCCCTCCATGCGCGCGGCATTCCAGCAAGCACTCTCTCTTTAATAAGCACTGTTACAATGTTCACATCTAGCGCTTTTTATACAGTATATAAAATGTTTATTGTTAATTCAAAGAGAAGGAAGGAAGGAGAGAAAATATCCGATTCGTAGCATTCTATACGAGAACACCGCTTTACGCGTGCGGTTCATACAGATAGCGCTCCTCCCTAGCCAAACAACTGTGTATAATCAGGGATAAAGTTATAAATTAGTATGAAACTTCTTGCCAAACAATTCAAATCGAATAAACAACCACGAGATAAAACAGACCATGGATCATTTGATGACTGCTACAAAGGCTACGCATAAGTATACAACGCGTTTCCGTCAGAAGATGAGAGAAGCTTGCACCCTCGGGGAGGCTAAATAATGCTGCGAAGGGCGTGAGCAAGGAGAGGCGGG